CTCGGCCCAGGCCCTCCTGTTGGGTCATTTGAGGAGTGATCCAGAGGATGGAAGACCTCTCTCTCTCTCTCTCAACTCTCCCTTTCAAATAAATAAATACATAATATTTTTTCGAAAAAGTCCATAGTGGGGATAAGTAGGTATCACTTCCGCATCACTAATTTTTCCACATCCATTCGATAAGTACTGTTAGGTTATCGGCATAACCGGGGTCTCCGTACCCACCTTTTCGTTTCCCGGCCATTAGGTGCTCCCGGCTGCTTTGCAGTGCAGGAGCTGGGCCTGGACAAGCCGAATGCACTGCGGGAACGTGGTGCTGGGAGAGGTGCCCGTGCTGCAGCATGCAGAGCTCCAGGTGCAGCCCGCGCTGCAGGCGCCTGCGGAGAGAGCCGCGAGCGCCCGCCAGGCACCCGCAAGCTTCCCTTCCACAGGGTCTCGCTGGCGCCCTCTACTGACAAAGCTGAACATCGTGCCAGATAGCTCTTCATTCATTCACTCATTCCAGACGCAGGCAGACAGAAATAGCTCCCACCTGCTGGTTCACTCTCCAAAAACCCACAACAGCTGGGGCTGGGCCAGACCAAAGCCAGAAGCCAGAACTCTTCTGCCTCCAAGAGTGTGCGTTAGCAGGAAGCTGGAGTCAGGAGCCGGGGTGGGGTATCCCACTCAGGCACTCTGATGTGGGACCCAGGTCCAGCCAAAGAAGACACATCCAAAGGGCCCAGATCGATGTTCACAGCCCAGACTGGAGGGAAAATCTGGTGCTGAGATCAGCCCAGCTGGCCTCCAGGGAGAGAATCAACCTAAACAAAAGGCCAGCAAAGGTCAGAAAAGGCCCACAACCCAGCGGGAAGGAAAGAAACAGAGAGGAGCACAGAGCAAGACAGACAGCAGAGACAGGCGAGGGGGCTGACCACGGCCGCGGGCCTTCGGGTGGCACAGCTGCTCCCTGCCCTTCTGTTCGAGGGGACACTCCCTTCATAAATGCCCCCTTGGGGGTATAAACCCACAAAAGCCCTGTGACAATTTACCCTGACCAAGTCGCTGAATTAAAATCAGGGACGACTGAATCATTGCTGAGTCCTTATGATGGGTTACAGTTGTGTAAAGTGTTATGCTTTCCAGTCTGGAGAAACTCTCTTCCACGGTGGAAAATTCTATCCCTACAAACATGAGAATCCAGGGCTGGTGCTGTGGTGTAGTGGGTAAAGCTGCCACCTGCAATGCTGCATCCCAAATGGGCACTGGTTCAAGTCCCAGCTGTTGCCCTTCCAGTCCCACTGTTAATGCGCCTGGGAAAGCAGTAGACGATGACCCAAGTGCTTGGGCCCCTGCACCCACATGGGAGACCCAGAAGGAGCTCTTGGCTCCCAGCTTCAGCCTGGCTCAGCTTTGGTCATTGCGGCCATTTGGGGAATGAAGCAGTAGATGGAAGACCTGTGTGTGTGTGTTTGTGTGTGTGTGTGTCTATAACTCTTACTTTCAGAATAGATAAATACACCTTAAAAAAAATAGCGAGACTCCTTTTCCATTATATCAGTCCCTGCACTTTAGGTGGCAGAGCTGGGTTTCCCCTGGACTTCATCCTGTTTTCCCTGGACTCCTTGGGTTCCTTTTAAGTTCCTATAAAACCGAGAAGTCTGTATTTTAGAACGAGGCTACACAGGCTTCCTTGCTAGGCTTATATTTAATTTTCTAGTGTGATGTCTTGCAAGGGGATTGGCAGAATTCAGCTGATCCCGTAACTGGAGGCAGCTTTCTACGAACGTCCCTAACCAAGCCCCTGTGCCTCTCCAAAGGCTGTGCCTGCAGGTGCTCTCCAGCGGGGTGAAGAGTGAAACAAATACCTTAGATTCCATCGATTTTCTTGAGGTGTGAGGTTTGGTTTTTTTGGACAGGCAGAGTTAGACAGAGAGAGAGAGAGAGAGAGAAAGGTCTTCATTCCGTTTGTTCACCCCCCAAATGGCCGCTATGGCCGGCACACTGAGCTGATCTGAAGCCAGGAGCCAGGCGCTTCCTCCTGGTCTCCCATGCGGGTGCAGGGCCCAAACACTTGGGCCATCCTCCACTGCCTATGGGCTGTTTCAAGTTATTTCCACCGGATGCAGTCAAGTCCTCAGCTCGCTCTCTGGTTTATCTACTGTAGTTACTTGATTATTTCCCCGTGACGTCTTTAGCAACAGGGAACACTGCAGCGGGGGGTGCTGGCCCAGCCCTCCCTGGCACTGCGGTTTGCTCCTAGGATGCCAGCAGGTCCCCACAGTCCCACATCACACGTCCCACGTGATCACTGTCTTGGATGTGGAGAAAGAAGAGGCTCCAGCTCCTTCGGTGTGTCTCATCCCCAGTCTCAGGATCCCATTCTCTCGAGTTCCTTCCGATTGCAGCAGGGGCTTCCTCTTTCCTCCCCGCGTTCCCTCTCACAGGCCACCCCTGCTCTCATGCCGTTTGCATCTTCAGCCTCTTCGTTCAAACCTCATGTTTTATGGATATATTTTTTTTTGACAGGCAGAGTGGACAGTGAGAGAGAGAGACAGAGAGAAAGGTCTTCCTTTTGCCGTTGGTTCACCCTCCAATGGCCGCCGCGGCCGGTGCACCGCGCTGATCCAAAGGCAGGAGCCAGGTGCTTCTCCTGGTCTCCCATGGGGTGCAGGGCCCAAGCACCTGGGCCATCCTCCACTGCACTCCCTGGCCACAGCAGAGAGCTGGCCTGGAAGAGGGGCAACTGGGACAGAATCTGGCGCCCCGACCGGGACTAGAACCCAGTGTGCCGGCGCCGCTAGGGGGAGGATTAGCCTAGTAAGCCGCGGCACCGGCCCGTTTTATAGATAGTTCTGTTCTCCCTAGCAATTCTCCTTCACGTTCCTGCAAGAGCCTGTGCCTCTCTGGGCCACTGATCCTTCCACATTTGTGATCGTAACAGTGCTGGTAGGTGGGGGGCAGGCACCGCCCAGTCCCCAGCAGCCCCAGCAGGCCCCATCCTCTCCCACTGAGCCCGAGCATACCCTAATAACGGGCGACAGAGGCGCAGTGGGGGTGCACACCTGATGGAGCAGGATGAGAAATCCTCCATGGAAAATCACTAGGCTTCAAGGGTAGGGGGAGGGCACGTGATTGGATGGTAAGGTCACAGGGATTCTCAATTGGGCTCTGCAGGATTTTTTGGTACAGCAGGGGAGAAGGCCCCCAGGGACAGGCCAAGGGTGAGACCCAGAAGAAAGACAGTCCAGAGGAGCCGCTTGTGTTAGTCACCTCCCCAGCGGAGATGCCGGACACTGGGGCAGCTGGTGCGGAGGGCTTTGGGTTGAGTATGAAGTTTAAGACAAACAGGCCTAAGTCTCAGCTGAACGGAGGCTGCTCAAATCACTGACAATTACTGTGCTAGGAAGTTCCTGTCTTTTAACGTGTTACTGACAAAGTTCCCAAGGGTAGGGTTGTGCCCTCCAGTTCTCTGTGAGCCCCGTGGCTGCAAGCCTCCTCACGTGGTGCTGTGCTTTCAGGAACTGGTAGATCTTGTTACAGCAAAACTGAGTACACACGCCAAACACTGTGCACAGCTTTCAGGAGCTGTCAGCTGCCCCAAGGATGCTGTCATCGTTACCTAGCCTCTGCTGCTTCAACAGCACCCGCCGCCTTTACAAAGCTTTTTCCCAGTGATGAATTCATTTTTATCCCCAGGCTTTGCAGGTGGGTTGTTTCCCCAGCTATACATTTGAAAGATTCAAATCATGGGAAGTAATTTGCCCAAGATCACAAAAGCAAGTTCCAGCAGGTACTTCAACACTTGTTCCTTGCTTTCAAAAAAGTTTTTAAAAGATTTACTTTATTTATTTATTGAAAGGCAAAATTACAGAGAGAGGAAAGACAGAGAAATCTTCCATCCATCCATTGGTTCACTCCCCAAATGGCTGCAACAGCCAGGGCTAAGTCAGGCCACAGCCAGGAGCCTGAGACTCCATCCAAGCACTTGGCCATCTTCCACTGCTTTCCCAGGCGCATTAGCAGGGAGCTGGACTGGAAGAGGAGCAGCCAGGACCAGAAAACTGGCTCTCATATGGGACACTAGCATCGCAGGCAGCGGCTTAACTCGCAGTGCCACAGTGCTGTCCCCGCCTTCGAATTTCTCAAGAAAAATAAATATATACGGTTACTTTCCTTTTTTTTTTTTTTTTTAAGATTTTACTTATTTATTTGATAGGTAGAGTTACAGATAGTGAGAGGGAGAGACAAAGGTTTTCCATCCACTGGTTCACTCCCCAAACAGCCACAGCAGCTAGAGCTGGACTGATCCAAAGCCAGGCTCCTTCTCGGGTTTTCCCTTGCGGGTGCAGGGGCTCAAGCACTTGGGCCATCCTCCACCACTTTCCCAGGCTATTGGCAGAGAGCTGGATCGGAAGAGGAGCAGCCCGAACTAGAGCCGGCACACATATAGGCACTGCAGAGGGAGGACTAACCTACTGCGCCACAGGGCTGGCCCCCAGGGTTACTTCTAAATCTGAATCCAAGCAGTGCAAAGAAAAGCATACATAAGAACACGGTCATTTGGGAGTCAAAGGAGGACAGGAAGAGGGCGCGTAGGTTCACGAAGAATCCTTGAAGAATGAACCAGGAACTGAGAGAGCCAGTGCAGGGTGGAAACAAATCAGCGAACAGCAGGGGGCCCAGCCTCATGCCTACAGAGGCCAAGCACACAGCACCAGTGCGTGAAACACTCCAGGTGCGAAGAGCAGGGCACTGTGGAAACTTCAGTGACTCCAGGGAACTTTGATCAATTCATGCCCAAATAGGTTTAGCATCTGATTTTTGAAGAGAAGCAGAAAATGGAGATTTTATGTGAAATGTTTAGGGCTTTTTTACTATTGTGATTAGTTTGTTTAAACATCAATGACTCATTAAAAAAAAAATTCAACACTTTTCAAGCCAAAGTAACACAACTACAAGCCAGGTAACATGCAATCTCCACCCAACCCAGCCGGCCCCTTGCAAAGAAGTTTCAACGCTGAGGACACAAAATATGTTATTTATTGTCAATTTCTGCAAAGACACATTTAAGCAACAAAATATACATTTGTCAACCTTTTAGAATTTGTTTTATACATTAACAAATACAATGTGCTACCATAGCAATAAATTAAATGTACACTATTTACATTACATAGGCAGTCGGGGTCTACAGATCACCTCCTCGCTAAGAGGAAAGAGAGGAAAGTCACAGGGGTCATCACTTCCAAGCTGTGGGTCTCGGGCTCTCTCACATGGAGGCATCGCTCCACACTTGGGCATCGCCGCTGCCCGGGACCTGGGGCAGTCGGCACGCATGCTGGGGAGCAGGAAGGGGGATCCCCATTCCGAGCAGAAATGTCACAAACACAAAGACAATGGCAGTTGGTGTCCAGTCTTCCAGGCAAACACCCTCTCCCAGGGCTGGTAAGGCACAGGACAGAGCCCGTGGGCCCCGCAGCCTCCCCCCAGGCAGACTCCCCCAGGGCAGCCTCTGCTGCCCTTTGCCCTCACCATGGCCCTAACAGGGGTTTGTTGCCTTCCTCCCAAAGGGGCCCAGGGCCTGGCTGAGAGGAGGGGAACACGGGATCAGAGTGAGCAAGGGCTGGTGGCAAAACAGGTCCCGGGCGTGGTAGGACACTCTCGCCACCCCCTAGCCGGCTGCAGGGACAACCTGGCCAACTTTACAAAGGGTGGCTCAACCTTTGATAGTGGCAGCTGGCAGCTGAGGGAGGGTTATTTTTTGGCGGGGGGTGGGGGGGTGGTGGTGTAGGTCTCAAGCTGGCCCTGCTGGCCACCTGCTTTCTGTTGACTTAGAAATGAAGGAGAAAGGTAGTGTCTGGGTCGGCAGCTCCCAGGGCAGCAGGGAGAGAGGCTGCTAACCCAGGTCATGAACCGCCTTCATGTAAGAGTCAGGGAGGAGGGACGAGTGTTCTTTCACCACTTGCCTTCTTAACTGAGAAAGGGCGATGCCAAGGGCTGGCTAGTGCGCCCTTGCACATGGAGCACTCCCAGTCACACGCAATGCTTGCTGTTTGCTATGGCCCTCCCTGGAAAATCCAACACGATATCCTTCCCGGAACAAGAGAGCAGACACGGAGCCCACAGCAGCCTCCCAGCTCCACCAGCTGCCCCAAAACCAGGGGCTCCAGGAAACGGTGGAGGTGGCACGCAGGGAGGACCCTGGGTTGTGGTTGCTTCCCCTCCGTGGGACTGAAGCCTCTCATCTGGGTGATGACGGTTGGATGAGATGCTGGACGGGCTGGAAGCCCCAGGCATAGTGCTGACGCCCACAGAGCAGAACCACAGGAGTTTTTTTGAGAAACACTGTCGTCCATTCATGAGCACAGACACGCCCTCTTGCGTGTGTGGCTGCAGGCACCACTGCCCCAGGTGCCTGACAAGGGTGTTTCTCCCCGGAGTCAGGCAGGCTCAGGAAGCAGCCCGCCCAGCAGCAGGGGTAACCCCTGGCTGAATCTGGTTCCCAGGGCCAGGAGCCTGGACAAATCTTTGAGCCCAAGACTGAGTGCAGTCATTGTGGATCAAAGCGGATGGCAGGAGACTGGGGGGGGGGGGGGGGGGGGCAGCCTCAGCACAGTGGGGACACTGGGCTCACCCTTGCTCTGCTCCCCCATCTAGGAACTGGGCCCCAGGTGAACCCATGGGGTGGACTCTCTGGAGGTGGTAAGCCGTGACTGGGGGGGGGGGCATTCCAGGGCCCACCCAGAGCACCCCAATAGCAAACCAGAGCCACATGGCAGGGCTGTGCTGCTCGGGGCACACCTGAGACTAGACACTAGACACGGAGCAGGGACAACCTGGAAACCTCAGAGGACCCCAGACTACGAGCAACACAGCAGCAGCACCAAGCAACTGTAAATCCTAGCCACTCACGGAGGCAGGTGAGCGGGGACCCTGGCTTGCTTTAAAGAAATGCAGATGGACCTATCCTTGTCCTTCAGGAACCTGGCCAACAAGAGGCTGCCACCTCGTTCACTCCAGCAGGGGGCGCTGCTGCACTGACTTTTCCTGAAGGCTAACCCGCTCCTCTGTTAACTGGAGTCAATCTTACCCCACCTAGCAGCCAATGGTATCCACGAATTCCCTGTGACTGGGGATGAAGGATCACAGTTTTGCTCTGTAGTGAGAACTAACAGCAAAAGCGATGGGGAAATCATTACAATTTCTTCCCATCCCCCAAAAGTCTCCCACTTCAATGCTTTAACTTAGAAACAGGTCCAGCTCCCTGTGCAGCCCTGCACTTGCTTGGGAATCCTCTTCGTCTGCCCATTAATGCTGCAGCCCAGCTGGCATCAACACAGCAGCCCGGGACCACTCCATGCCAGAGACCCTGAGCGCACTTCCAGCTGCAGCCCTGCCACAGAGCTGGTGGTCAGAACCCTGCCCAACCCCCACCCCACCCCCCGCAAAGGCCACCCTGAGGGCAGGACTCCCACAGCTGGAGTAGGGATGGACAGGCATGGCAGCTGGCAGCACCCCCCTCCCCGACGCTAAGCACACAGACTACTGAGGGGTACTGCGCTCCCACCCCCCACCCAGTCCTGACCAGACCTGCCGCGTCTGAGACACAGGTTGAAATAACTGTGTCTTCCCTGAACTTCCAGCCAGCGGAGACCTGGATCCCAGCCCAGCCCTCGGGCCCTGAGCTTCTCTCCAACCAACAAACGCCCCAGCGCTGGCACTGGTTCCTTTGCTTTCCCTGAGTTCCCTCTTGCTCCTAGCTTCCCACCGGTTCATGAGGAAAACACCTGCCCACTGGGAGAGATGGCCAGGGGCTGCATGAAAGCAGGCCCGACTGCAAGTTCTCCCCGCAAGCAAGGACCTGTGTGCCCCTGGCCCCAGATGCACTCAGCTCCACCCCCAAGCTTCCACCCCCCAAGCCCAGCTCAAGGTCACACTGGCCTGACCTGCACATGAGGAACAAGTCCTTAGCCCTGAGGCAGACAAATGCTCTAGAACTCCAGAGATACATGAGCAACAGAGCTCCCTGTTAGCAGGACAGCCTTGAGATGCTCTGAATCCTGGCTCCTGGAAGAGCGGCCCCTCCACTTACACAAGTGCATCCACGGTGGCAAAGCCCCTGCCTGCCACATGGAGAGAGGCATCGCCCTGGGCCAGCAGACAGCGGCCCGCACCAGGGCACTCCAGTCTGCTGACGGCCACTGCTCCCCACCTCACCGAGCTCTCCGCCTCTGGCACAGATGGGCTCCCCGGCCTCTGGCTGAGCCCCTGGGACCCCCAGCCCCACTCTGCCCACTTCTCTTTTCCTCTGCAGACAGAACAAGATGACGAATGACCCAGACGGACATCACACCGGGAGGTCAGGATTAGGGGGCCTTGTCCGGAGACGGGAAGGAGCTTGCAAGGTGTGCTGGCGAAGGGACCGGCAAGGCTGCGGCCGGGTGGGGACACTGGGACTGACGGTTGGTCTGGTGGCCAGGTAGCCAGTGGGGCAGCAGGCCTGTGACAGTCAGGGTAGTGGACGGCACCCCCAAAACTGCTGGAATCGGAGCCTTCACTGGGATACAATCCGGGCTTCCCTGCAGGAGGCAAGGAGGAAGGAGATGAGGACCACCAAAGACAAGAAGGGCCCAAATGCAAGGGGGCCAAGTTCACACAGCCAAGGTCAGGCTTCAACATGACTCAGCAGCCAGAGAGGCACCTGAGGCCAGCATGAGAGCAGCAGCGAGGTCAGTGTGTCCACTGTGTCCTTGGGTTCTGCATAAACTGGCCTACGGTGGGCTCAACTGTACCTGCCCTCGGTTCTACCTCTAACTTGTGCCCCTGTGAGCCCCAGGAGGGAGGGAGGCTGGGGCTCCACCTGCAGAAGCCCAGGCTTCAATGGCCACAAGAGCACCCATGCCTGCTTAGGCTGAACCGCAGACGCTGCATCTGAAGGCAGGAGCAGGAGGGGCCCCCGGGCCTGCCCCTCCCAGCGTTCCCCGGGCAGGAGCCTCTCTTGGCTCTTGGGGTGCGGGACACATCCTAGCCTAGAGACACAGAGGGAAGGGGCAGCAAGGGGGCGCCTGAGAAGCCCACCCTGCCAGGAAGGAAGCAGATCCCACATCCCCTCGGGTGGTCCTCCCCGTCGGTCCCTTCCTCCCCGTCCAGCCCCACCCCTGTGCTGTAGGAGCAAGGCCGCCACTGTGTGCACCTCCCCCACTGATGGGACCTCTCCAACCCCTCTGCAGGGGTACAGCCACTGCCCCCTGACCTTGAAGGACACACGCCCCTTCCTCCTGCCACTGAGAGACGCTCTCCACCCACCTTGGACAGGCGAAGGCCTGCTCCTTCACATCAGTGACCCTGTGTCAGAAAAATCCACAAGAGAACTTTAAGCAGCCAGACAACACAACCCCTCCAGCTCTCAACAATCGGGTGGGCTCAGGGAGGGATCCGGGGCCCAGGAGCCAACAGAGCACGACTTAGATCAGGTCAAGGCTGTGTCCAAGGCCGCAGCTGTAATGTGGGATGTGAGGCAATGGTGGCCACCTGGGGACCCACACGCCACCCGGGACCTGACCAGAGCTCTCCCTGCTGCTGTCCCAGGGCCCTGTCCCTCTAGCCCGCGGGTCAGAGCCTGGCTCTGGGACACAGCGGGACGTGGGCCATAGGAGGCCACTCGGCGTGCTGCCCTCATGCCCCACACCCTTACCGCACTGGAGCTGGCGTGGCTGAGCTTATCAAAGCGGAATTTCAGGTTAGATCTCGGGGAGTTTCTGCTTTTGGCATCTAAGGAAAGAAGAATGCACAGGACAAGATGGGGGAGCTGTCGGGGGTCGGGAGAAAGGGCCGCTCCCCCCACGCAGTGCTCCAGCCGACTCAGACCCATTCAGCACAGCCGTGTCTCACGCTTCCAGAAATGTGGGGGTCTGTTAGACAGGGGCCGTTTATTAACTCGAAATCCTATAAGTTTAAGGATAAGTTACATCCCATAGAAGTAGCAGATACTGAAATTCATCACTCCCTGGTTGTATCATTTTGCTTTGAGGGGCAGATAGAGAGCGCGCCCATCTGCTGGTTCACTCCTCAAATGCTCACCGTGGCTGGGGACAGGCCATGGCTGAGGCTGGGAACCAGGAACTCAATCCAGGTCTCCCACGGCGATGGCACTGACTCGACAACTTGAACCCTCACCAGTGCCTCCAGGGCCTGTGTTAGCAGGAAGCTCAGGAGCCAGAGCCTGGCCCTCCTCGGTGCAACACAGGCATCGTAATCACCAGATGCCCCAGCTGCTTCACTGTGTTTGACTGTCCGCGGCTGTCTGTGCCTGTGCACGACGCCTCTCCCCGACCCCCAGCTCCTCCTCGGGGCACCCGCAGCTGCAGAGGAGCCAGGACAGGAGCACTGATGGGAAGCCAGCAAATGCTACACGTCTCGGCTTGGCTTCTAGACCTAAGTCACTAACAGGGAAAACAATGTGGATGGAACTGTAAGATGTGCTGTGTCTGCAGCCGCTACGTTGTAAACGGCACAAAAGCACTGAGTGAGCAGTCTTCCGCTGGTGAGAACTACTCCCCAGCCCGGAGGAGAAGGGGCGGGGGCTCACTGGCAAGTGAGCGAAGCAAAAAGCACTCGCGGCGGGGAGGGTCTGACCCAGCACATAAGGCACCAGTTAGGACGCCCATGTCAGAGTGCCTGGGCTCCACAACCACCCCGGATCCTGACTCCAGCTTCCTGCTAATGCAGACGCTGGGGGCAGCAGGTGATGGCTCACGAAACTGGGTTCCTGTACCCACAAGAGACCTGGATTGAATTCCTGGCTCCTGGCTTCAGCATTGGCCATAGTGGGCATTTGTGAAGTAAATCAGCCAATGGGAGTGCGCTCCCTCTCTCTCTCTTTCTGCCTCTCAAATAAATTTTTAAAAAATAAAAATAAAAGAGTAAAATACTTGGGAACATAAAAGACACCAATCGGCATTCATGTTGGAACTGCACTTATTCCTCTTCTGAAACCTTAAGCTGGTTACAGATTACAAAGCTTAAGCAAATATCAATAAAAGCTTTATGTGAAAATCAACTGGACAAATGGGATTTAGGGCAAAGAATGCTGTATATTCTATCATTATTTGTAAACAGGATGCTTCAGACCCATTATAGCAGTAAAACTTACAATAAATGTGTGTGCCTGTATGTATATATGTCCATTTGTGTGTCCCTGTGTTTCTGTGTCTATGCGTCCATGTGTGTCTCTTTGTGTCCGTGTGTCTGTGTGTGGGTGTCCCTGTGTCTATGTGTCTGTGTGTGGTGGGACAATCAGTCGTCAAACATCCACCTACAGAAGCTGCCCGATTTGCTGGTTTTCTCTGCTGGAGGGAATCCGCAGCTCAGACAGCCCAGCTGGAGGCCACTTCAAGTCAAGGGGCTCCCCCAGCACCACAAGCACCTCTGTGTGCCTCTGCCAACCCCTCGTGGGCCCAGGAAGCCCAAGTTCAGGCATCGCAGACTATGGCACCGTCAAGACTCAGCCCAGCAGCCTGGAACAGGTTCCCAGACCACTCCTCCAGCCCAGTCAAGACCACCCGGATCCTGCCGAGACCCAGCACAGCTTGCATGGGGTCAAGCGCTGTGTGGAGGGAGGGGCACAGGCAGAGCCACCAAGGTGTGGTGTGATGAGGACTGGGTAGAAGCCGTGCCGGGTCCCCTTCTGCCCTGGGGACCGGCCGCAGGTGGCTGACTCTTGCTAAGCCTCCCTTTACTCAAAATCTTACTTATTTTTATATTTATTTCGCACCAAATAGGAGCCAGGCTTGGCAACATAGCCTCATCCATCCCTTCATTATTTAACTAAACCTTATTTAAAAAACCACACACGCAGGGACTTTGCATCGTTACATTATCATTTACAGATGGGGAAACTGAGGCTTAGGGAGGGGGAACTGTCAGTGCCACAGGCAGAATCAGGACCCAGCTCTGCCGCTGCCAGGCCACAGCAGGGGGTGGGCAAGAGGAACCCACGACCTGCTCCTGGAGCGGCAGGCGCTGATGCACAGGACCCTCTGCATCTGATCCATCCACATCCCCTCTCCCCTCCCACAACCAACAGCCAACAGCCTGCAGTGGCGAGAAGCCAGAGGCAATCTGCCTGCAATCGCTGTGTTCCTGTCGTCCAGACCAGAGCTGCTTGGCATCCTGGTACTGGGGATGGGTAATTCTGGGCTTGGAAAAGGACCGTCCTACACACTGTTAAGACCCCTCCCACGGCCACGAAAACTGAACGTGGCTCCAGACATCGCTGAAGGTGCTCTCCCCCGGGCAGGGGGAGGGGGTACTGTCATGGCTAGAACCACCATCATCCTCCTTGCTCTATCCCAGGTACCCAGCACACTTAGGTGGACAGTTCTTCCTTTCTCTCTCTGAAGCACCATCACTGGCTCTTCCCACAGCCAGCCCTGGGAACAGACACTGCTATTCCTTCCCCTCCACTTTCTGCTTGGACAAACGGAGGTTCCGAGGCTCCGTCCCTTATCCACTGTCATGGCGCCAGCAGCAGCCAACCCGGCGTTTAGGTGCAGGTTCCAGACCCATGCTTGTCCCCCACTCTGCCATCCTTCTAGAAGGCAGAGACCAGGGCCTTGACTCCTGAGAGCCCACAGCCCCCGCCCACAGTGCCGATCACCCAGGGCCACTCAGATGGCACTTGGAGCTGGCCCTTCACTCCCCACCCCCAGAGCAGGTGCCTCCTCCTCCGCCCGTCTGCAGGGAGCACAGAGGCTCCTGTGCTCTGAGCCCCCACCACAGAGCCTGCTGTAATCTCCTTCCCCCCAGTCCTGCAGCTCACTGATCCTCTCCAGGTCAGCAGCTGCAGCCTCCACAGTGCTCGTTCTCAGCCCCGGGTGGTACTTCTCTCTTTAAAACCCTTCGAGGGGCTGCCATTATGGCACAGTGGGTTAAGCCTCCACCTGCAACCCCGGCATCCCATATGAGTGCCTGTCCAAGTCCCAGCTGCTCCACCTCCTGTCCAGCTCCCTGCAAATGCTCTTGGGAAAGCAGAAGGTGATGGCTCAAGTACTGGGCCCCTACAGCCACATGGGAGACCTGGATGGAGTTCCAGGCCCCTGGCTTTGGCCTGATCCAGTCCTGACTGTTGCAGCCATTTGGGGAATAAACCAGGAGATAGAAACTTGGGGCTGGCGCTGTGGCTTAGTGGGTAAAGCCATCGCCTGCAGTGCTGGCATCCCATATGGGTGCCAGTTCGAATCCTGGCTGCTCCACTTTCGATCCAGCTCTCTGCTATGGCCTGGGAAAGCAGTAGAAGATGGCCCAAGTCCTTGGGCCCCTGCACCCGTGTGGGAGACCCGGAAGAAGCTCCTGGCTCCTGGCTTTGGATTGGCCCTGCCCCAACTGTTGCGGCCATTTGGGGAGTGAACCAGCAGATGGAAGACCTCTCTGCCTCTGCCCCTCAGTAACTCTCCTTTCAAATACATAAATAAATCTAAAAAAAAAAAAAAAAAAAGAAGAAGAAGAAGAAGACGACCCTGCAAAGACTTAGGGGCCCGTGCCTGTCACCAGCCTGTCCTCACTCTAGCCTCTCTTTCCTCTATCGCGCCTCCCCACGACTCCAGCAGCACTGGGCCACTTGCAGCTCCAGAACATTCTGGCCCACACTTCTTCCAAGCCTCTCCACAGGCTGTTCCCCTGCCTGCCCTCGTGCTGCCAGGATCATGGCTGTGGGGTGCACTGACAGGGTGCAGAGAGCGGACAGCACTGAGCCTTCTCACCACACGTCCCAGCTTGTCCACTATGGGCTCTCCAGCGAATCAGTTAACACTCCGAGCTCAGCGTCCCCGCACATACGGAGAGGACAGGAACGCAGGGCTCTTAAGTTCGAGGGACAGAGGGAAGGGGCTGGCAGAGCTGAAAGACCTAACACCTTGGAACTGGAGCCAGCCCAGCCCACCCGGGGACAACTGCCCGAGAACAGAGGTCAGGGCCCCACCTCAGCCTCCTGGCCACATCGCGCAACCCCAGCCAGGCCACTGACCTGTGGGACTCCGGTTCATGATGATGGGGGTGGCAGCGGCGCCCAGGCTGGGGCTCTCGCTGCTCGGGGACGGGCTGTAGACAAACACCTCCTGCTTGAAAGGCGAGGCTGTGGACGGCTGGCTGCTCTGGGGAGAGAGGCTGGGTGAGCGAGGCCGGCCTGGCTGCAGTGAGCCCCACAGGGCAGCCATGCCCGGGCAGGCCTGAGACAGGCCCCTCTGAGCCCAGAGCAGCTCCTGCCCCCCACGCCCCTCTGGGCCTGCTTTATCCTTCCTGCCAGCTCCAGCCTCGCCCTGCCCATGCCCAGCCCCATGGAGCCAGGGCCCTCTCCGCTCCAGCAGGGAGCACATGGTGGGGACAGCACTCCCTGCAGCTGTGGCACTCAGAGGGGGACCCCCAGAGGGTGGTGACAGCTGGCCTTCCCCCTCTTGCCTCCATCCACCCGTCCTTCTCCACCCGCGGAGGCTCCCTTGGTGCCCGGGGGCGCCTACCCCGCTGTCACACTCCTCCATGGCCTCGCCCTCGCCCGCTGCGCTGCTGAAGCTGCTGGTGCTGGAGGAGGAGCGGGAGATGCTGGCCCGGCCGTTCTCCTTCAACTTGACAAAGGGCCTGTGGGAAGGGAAGCCGGGCAAGGGTCACTTGCAGAGACCCCAGGCCCTCCCCAGAGCCTGGAGCCAGAGGGCCGAACGTGCCCACCTGCAGCTCCCCATGCCCCTGCCTGCTGTTCCAGAGAGTTCCAGCGCTGAGAGCCACTCACTGCAGCACGCTCTGGGCTCCAAAGGGCTACGCCAGCCTGCCCCTCGTTAGTTAAACGGGTGCCGTCCTGGCTGTGGGGCCACCTTAAGCCCCGGATGCCATCGTGCACAGTAAGCTTCAGTCCTAAGCCCAGCCTGGCTTGCTAGGAGTCAGGTGACCAAATGGCCCAAGCACAAACCTCAGCTCCACCTCCACATACCAGGATTCGCTGCTCCCACTTCCCTGCCCCCTGCAAGAGTATAAAAGGAGCTGCTTCCCACACACGTGCGTGCTCTCTCTCTCTCTCTACCTCTCTCTCAGAGCCTGCCTCTTTCCCGCCCTCTCTCTCCCTCTCCCCCTCTAGTCTGTCGGGTTCCCCCCACCCGACAATAAACCTTCCCTCTAACCCGGCTGTGTGCTGTGTTTTGGGGTGGCCTTTCACCCCTCCCCCTCTTACTTCTCTTTGTTGGGGCAGATTTCCGGAGAGCTGGGGTTGGATGAGGTCTCAGACTTGATCTCCTGAGAAGAGTGGCCGCCATCCGGGGTCTTGGGGGTGCTGGACGCACTATCACTGGGGAAACAACACGGAGAGGAGTGAGGCCACGGAGCAAGACCCCAAGCCCCCCAGTCTGCACACCTGGGCCCTGGGCAGAGCCCCTGCAGCACGGTGGTATCAGGCTCCTTCCACAGCGAGGCCACTGGGACTTCCTCTCCCACCCAGTCAGATGGCAGGGGGTTCTGCTCCCAAAAGAAGGGGCCACTCGGGAGTCCTGGCTTGATGGTCTCCTGCCCAAACCTCCTACCCCTCACCAAGCTGGCTGCCCCCCCTGGCCAGACCCCGGGTCAAGGAAGCCACCCGAGGAAGGGAGCAGGATCTGGTGGAATGGGGTCAGTGACACCTGCCCCACAGCAGGAGACCAGCCAACACACACGGACCCCTGGGCAGTGCCAGAAAGGCCACCCACCCCATGACCCAGCGTTGCTACAAGAGCTCCCTGGAGCCATGTGATGAGGCGGCCCTGAGAGCCACTCCTGGAGAAGGAACTCCTGGATCCCCCAGGGTACACTCAGGTCAGGGCTCCAAGCATTTCCTCCTCCCGTGGTTTTACAAAGAGCGTGCGCCAGGGCCCGCCACCTCCCCTGTGCCAGCTCTGGGGTCCTCACAGCCAGGATTGTGCACAATGGTCCTCCACATACTTATTTCACAACAGTATCTCTGGGACACCACCTATGCACACACCATGCCCTGACCAGAAGTGGCCAATGCAGTGGCTTTTAGGACATGAGGTGCTTCAAAATGTTCATGGAAAAATAGAATCAAAGCATACTTCAGTGCAAAAGAATTTTTGAAATCTACGCACAGTTTTTTTCATAAGGCACGCTTTCCCATGACCTTTCGGATGACCCCTCGGGGTCACAAAGCTGGCAGCCTTTCCCACCATCTAGTTTTAGAACACACTTGGCGCTCCTGAAAGCAAGGCGGGGCCCACTGGCTGCCACACCCCTTTCATCCCCAACCCCTACTGCCTGTGACCACTAGCCCACATCCCGTCTCCATGGATCTGCCCAGGCCGGGCATTTCAGAGAAATGGAACCACACTTGATGGCCTGGATTCTCGCCCGGGCACGGTTTTCAAGGTTCATCTACACCCTAGCACGCTGCTGTCCTTCATTCCTTTTTATTGCAGGATGATACTGCGTGGCTAGACCCCGTTCTGTTTACCCATTCGTCAGCGATGGACGTCTGGGCTGCTTCCACTTGGGGCTGTCGCACGCAGGGCTGCCGTGCACACGTGCGCACCAGTGCTTTTACATGGACATTTGTTTGCACTTTGCGTGGAACAACTGGGTAAGAGGGACTCCGTGTTTAGCCTTCTGAGGAGCTCCCAGGCTGTTCCCCAAAGCAGCCGCACCCTTGGGCCATCCCAGCAGCAAGAGAGGGTGGCTCCTGTGTGTGTGTCCTGCTCCTCTCCAGCCCGTCTTTCTGTTTATTTGATTCACCTGGATGTGCCGCTGATGGGGCTGCTGACGACCTCCTAATCCCCAGCTCCAGCCTCTGGGCCCTGTGCTGGAATCCCCTGCACACCCGACAAGGACGCTGACTCCCTGCCTCCCGGGAATGTTCCCTGTTGGCTACAGAGGCCCCCACCTCTGCAGCCTCCCCCACCCCCCACCTTCTTCACGAGCTCTGCAGGCTCCGCTCTCCCCTGGCCGCCAGGGCCAGACCTGCTCTCTCTGGGTGGCGAGATCTGTCGAGCCCTCTTTAACCAGCACCTTTCCACAGTGATTGCCAGCATCTTTTTTTTTTTTTTTTTGACAGGCAGAGTGGACAGTGAGAGAGAGAGAGAGAGAGAGAGAGAAAGGTCTTCCTTTGTCGTTGGTTCACCCCCAAATGGCCGCTGCAGCTGGTGCACCGCACTGATCGGAAGCCAGGAGCCAGGTGCTTCTCCTGGTCTCCCATGCGGGTGCAGGGCCCAAGCACTTGGGCCATCCTCCACTGCACTCCCTGGCCACAGCAGAGAGCTGGCCTGGAAGAGGGGCAACCGGGACAGAATCGGCGCCCCAACCGGGACTAGAACCCGGTGTGCCGGCGCCGCAAGGCGGAAGATTAGCCTAGTGAGCTGCGGTGCTGGCCGCCAGCCTCTTTCCCTAGTCCGGGCCTCCCTCACTCAGGACCTGCGACTCTGACCCTGTCTTGCACATGTCCACTGAGTGCACATGTCCACACAGTCACAGGTGTGGGCTCCAGGGTTTCATACTCCTCTGCTGACCTGTCCCTTGTCCTGCATGCCCCAGCCCAGGTCATGAGACCACCACCCAGGGCCACAGGCCCACCTTCCCCTCACAGGACTATGAGCTTCTAGAAGGTGGGTGTGTGGATTTGCGTCACTTATCCAAGTACTCAGCAATGTGCCCACACTTCATTCACCTGCTTGCTGAATTAAAGAACAAACGGGCTCAGATTAAAAGGTCAGAAAGCAATGAGCGAGCTCAGGTTAGGTACGATGTCATGTGACAGCACAGAACATTCTAGAAATCCAAAGGAAGACTCAATGAGCTCTGGCTGGCAGGCTCAGGGAAGGCTTCCATAAGTGCGGATGTTTGAGTGAGCACTGGGAAACAAGGCAAACAAAGGTCCAGGCTCTGTGTCTAGCCTGGGTCGAAACACCACAGGGACAACCCTGGTCAGCCCCAGGCAGAGCCTGGCCAAACAGTCCTTGGTGGACAAAGAGCTGAGTGAGCAACAGGGGACACGCAGGTGCCTGGAGTGGAGGCTGGGACTGGAGCGAAGCTCTCCCAGGGCCGGGTGGGTGACGGCTGCAGCAGTGGGGAGGGCCCACAGCCGGGCCAGAGCTGGGGGCGCCGACAGTTACCATCGCGTCCGGCCGTCCGCTGGGCCCTCGGAGCCCGTGTGCAGGCGGGGGAAGAGCCCGGACCGCCGCTTGATGGGGCTCCGCGACTGGTTCTTCGCCGTTGCTGCCACCACCGGAGGCTGCCGAGGAAATCACCAGAGTGAGTGTCGGTGCCCCAGTCCCCGGTCTCCTTCCCTTCCTCCCTGCCCTGGCCTACCTGGGGTCTGGAGGGGACCCAGGAACAGCAGGGGAGCTAGGAAGGCCGGGGTTACACCAGAGGGGCCGAGGCCGGGGCTCGGCCGGCTGCAGCCTCTTCTCCTGTCTCTGGAGCCCCTTCGTGAGGCCCAGGTGAGTCCCCACCGACGGAAGAGCTGACTCAGGGGCTCACGGACTGAGAACCACAAAGCGAGAGAGCCCGGAGCCACTTCTGGTGTCACCCATGTGGAAGTGGAAGACCAGAACCCAGAGCTCCTGGACCCAGGCAGGTGCCACAGAAACAGGACAGAAGAGCAGCCACACACAGGGCCAGGTCCCCAGGCACCGCCACGCGGGGGCACCAGCCGGAAGGTTTCTGCCCCTCACAATCACCTGGCCTCACGGTGGGTGGGGAGCCATGGGGTGGTGGAAGTTTCAGTAAGGGGAGACAGGAGTCCACAGCCAATCTTTGGAGCCTGCCAGGCCTCTAAGCCAGGCCCCGTCCAGGTACTGTGCAACCCTGGGCCACAGTCTGTGGGCCTCAGTTTCCTTCCTGCTCAGCATGGACATAAAGGTCCTGTTCTGTCCCCTCCCAGGGGACCTCCTGGGAGGAACAAGGTAATGGCTACGGAAATATTTGATAAACATAATGAATTATGCAAGGTCATTTATAATATGAGTGGTGAGCATCCGTGTGAGTCTGTTCTGCTGTTTTTTTTAAAAAAGGAAAATCCTGGTCTGTACAAGGCCAAAGCCACACTGCTCTGTGAAAGGACCAGCCCCGTGGTCCCCACACCTCCCCAGCCCCCGGGGCGGCTCAGCCCTTCCTCGGGAGCTGCCCGTGCCGCAGTGACGGAGGGCATGACTCTGGGTCAGGCAGACCCCCATGCACAACCCAGCCCTTGGGCTGAATTAGGGTCCCGCAGCCCTTTCGCCCGGATGTGAATGGAGCTCACATCAGTGCCTCCCTCGGGCAACCCATGGAGGAGCAGGGCAGATCCTGTCTGTGGGTTACAGAGCTCAGCACCACTCCCCAGCAAGCCGGGGTGGCCCTGCTGCTGCCGACAAACACACAGCGCAGATGGCCCCCTCACGGCCAGGGGCAGGGGACCTGCCCTCCCGGACACGCCAAGGACAGGATAACAAGAGGGCACCAAATCTGGACCCAGGTACCCCCAGGATGGGGGCGCTCCAAAAGGACCCTTCTCACAGGGCAAGCAGCCCCAGTTTCCCACCAGTGCCCAGCCCCAGTCACAGCTCCCTGTGCGCCCCACAAGCTGGCCCCGGCACCTGCCACACTCACCGAGAAGGTGGTCTTGGTGACCTCCATGTTGTTGTGGGCGATGCCCCCGCTGAGGCTGCCAGGGATCCCTCCTCCATGCAGCTTCCTCTGGCTGCCCACCACGGTCTCCATGGAGTGGCTGCGCACGCGGATGGCCCTCTGCAGAGAGATGACCAGGATGACCCCACCCTGCGTGGGGTCTGCATACACGGTCCTCAGCAGGTGCCCGCACACACACACGTGGTCAGGGAGGTCCATACGGTGGGGTTTCCTGTACTCTGTCCATGGCTAGAGATGAGACGGGGCACCCTGCAGGGGAGCGAGCAGCCGGTGCCCAGCTCCACGAACAAGGGTCCCATTTATCCTGCAGGTGAAGTCTGGAGCCCAGCAAGCCCGTGCAGCCCTGGTCCAGGTACCCACCTCTCTACACTACACCTTTCCCATCCACACACTCCACACAGGATTGTGGCGGAGATTAAACAGTCGGGTGCCCAGAAAGCTATACTTCCTTCTCCAGGGGCATGGACTCCCCTCTGCCGCCATCCCAGAGTGTGTGGACTGCACGCGCCTGCGGGGAACCCAGCTGGAAGCTCCTCCCCATCCGGGCATCAAGCCATGTGCGAGCCTCACCCAGGTTCGGGGGGCAGAAGACGTGCTTCCGTCACCCGCCTGTGGTCAGGCCCAGCAGGTGGAAGAGGGGCTGGCCGGCGGGGCAGGGTCTCAGAGGGCAGGAGCTGCTCTGGCCACACACAGCCTTGTGGCCATTTAGACCAGCGAAGAGCAAAGCGCCAGTGAGCACCCAGGAGAGAGCCAGGACGCTGAGGGGCCGGGCCCTGTGTGCAAGGATGAGCCAACAGTGGGAGGGTCCTGGGGGGTGAGCAGCACCCCGTCAGGCTGCTCTACAGGGCAGCGTTTGACAGGACCCCGGGGAACGTGCTCTCTGCAGCGCCGGGGCCTTCAGAGATGACACAAGAGTTCCAAGAAGAGGAGGAGGAGTTCCCTCCGGTGGCCCCAAATCCTTGCGTCACCCCACTGCATTCATTCATCCAGTCACCCGGTAACAGCCAGGCAGCACTGTGGTCCAAAGCACATCAGCTGCAGGCTCTCTGCTCCACCACCCATCAGCTGGGCCCCCTGGCCAGTGACTTAGCTCCTCTGCTACATGAGATGGTGGGGGCACGCCTGCACCCCAGGACTGATGTGAGAACACAAAGCCCTTAGAAGACAGCCCAGTGCATCCCAACTGCCCTGTAAATACGGCTTCTCTTAAGGTGCTCAATGAGCACCTGTGTGCTCTGTGCCAGGCACTGAGACACGCACTCTGGACGCCAGAGAAGGTAGAAGATGCAGCCCCTCCCTCCAAGGAGTGCCCAAGGCGTAGCCCTGAGACTGGGGCGATGCTACCAGACCCAGGCGCCCAGGGCTGCTCCCTCTGCACGCATTGGTTGTCCAGGATTCCTGAGGGCAAAGACTCCACACACAGACATCATTAGGGGCTTGGCTTGCAGACAAGTACCGTCTTTTTTTTTTTTTTTTTTTTTTTTTTTTTTTTGACAGGCAGAGTGGACAGTGAGAGAGAGAGACAGAGAGAAAGGTCTTCCTTTGCCATTGGTTCACCCTCCAATGGCCGCTGCAGCTGGCACACCGCGCTGATCTGATGGCAGGAGCCAGGTGCTTCTCCTGGTCTCCCATGGGGTGCAGGGCCCAAGCACTTGGGCCATCCTCCACTGCACTCCCTGGCCACAGCAGAGAGCTGGCCTGGAAGAGGGGCAACCGGGACAGAATCCGGCGCCCCGACCGGGACTAGAACCCGGTATGCCAGTGCCGCAAGGCGGGGGATTAGCCTAGTGAGCCGCAGCGCCGGCCACAAGCACCATCTTTACGCGCACACACACACATGCGTGCCTCACTCGCCGGGCCACAGGCTGGTCCGGTGTCTCCTCTTCCACTGCGGCAGGAGGCAGGAGGAAGTCGTGATCAGTCCAAGGCAGTAACCAAACACACCCCTTTGCTGGCAGGCCAGCAGGAACGGGCTGCACCTGAAGCCACAGCAGGCAGCCAGGCTGAGCGACAAAGCAGACAGTCTGGGGCCAGCAGCCTAGAAGACACCGGACACTGCCGCCCACCGGGGCTGCAGCTCAGCTAGGCCTTCGCGTTCGGACCACAGCGTGAGCCAGTCAAGGTGAGGCATTCTCAAAAACACAGGCAGACGGCCGAAGCCGTGCACCCTGCTCCGTCTCCACTGGACTTGGCTCACATCACAGAGACCAACACAGCCCACAGCTGCCCCCGTGGGAGGATGCGCCCAGGCAAGGGCCCAGGGAAGCAGCATGAAGCTGCTCCCCCCACCCAAGCAGCAGGCCTCCCAGGATCTCTGGGGATGCTCCAAGCTGGGGAACGGCCCCCTCCTGCCTGCCCCTCTCCCCTAAGGAGAGAAGCCGACTCAGGAAGGCCTTTTGTCAGCCTGACCTATTCCCTGAGTCCTACCAGCCTGGCACCCCACAGCACCAGGCCCCTAAGGGGACATCCGCACTCTCCCCTGCAGACCCCAGAACAGCGTCACCTAGCAACGGTTTTCCAGCTGCGACAGCCGTGCGTCCTTTGAGAGAGAACAGGCAGGAAAAGCAACACAGCACGTGCAGATGTCCTCCCCAGGACCCTGACCTCCAGAGGAAAGGGTCTCTGTAGCCCCCCAAACGGGTTCAGATTGAAAAGAGAATTCAACTGGTTCCAGAAGGTCCCAGGGCCACACCAAAAAAGAAATAAATCGATAACAATAATAATTGTCGGAGGCTGACTCTGTCTTCCTGACCACCAGGGCTACTGCTATCAGGATCAGTGAGATAAGTCTGGGAGACGAGGGGCCGATGGGAACTCTGGGATGGACAGGAAGGGGTGACTCCTGGTTCTCCCCTTTGCTCCATGCGTGGACCTCACTGCAGTGGTGGCCCCCGAGGGAGGAGCTGTCACCAGGGTGGCATGACCTGCCAACTCAGGGCCAGCTCTCCTCTGCTCTTAAAGACAGAAGGACAAAGAAGTGACAGTTACCTCTAAGCCTTGAAAAAATGTTTGATGTGGACAAAACTGGCAGTGACATGGTCTAAAGCATTTCACATTTCAGTCGGACATAGAACTGGAAAGATGCGCTGGCCTTAACCAGGCAGAGGATTAAGGGAGGGGAAAGATGAGGACGAGGGGCAGTGGAAGGGGAAGTGAAAGCAGGGGTCAGGAGGCCAAAGGCAGCCAGAGGTCTCCAAGGACTGGCTGGACCCCTCCCACGCAGCCCCAGGCACATCTCCGGCGAAGCCCATCCCCTCTGCTGGGGTCTTCCAGGGAAGCCTGTGCCAGCAATGGACAGCCAGACCTGGGGGAAGTTCCTCTGTGTGCTGAGCTGAAATCTGATCTTTCCAAGACCTCGGAGTCCTGGACCAGTCTCTTCTCTGACACCACACGGCTGTCCCTTGCTGCCCACTCAGACACCCTGACATCACAGGACTGTCCTTGCTGGCCCCTGTCTGCCCCCCTCCCAAGTGGATCCGCTCTGGTCCCAGCTATCACCCAGGTCACTGTGGTTTCCCAGCCCTGGGCACACTCCCCACTGCTGACCCGCGAACGAGCTCCCTTAGGGGAGTAAACAGACACGGTGTCGCTTCCTTTGTTGCAGAAGGAGAAGTCTCTCCCCGCCAGCTGCACTCCTCACCTCCCTCTGCACGGGCTTTGCGCTGTTTCAACTCAACAAACCCAACTTGAGGGCCCTCGTCCATCTGGACAGAGCCAGCCACGGAGGCTGCGCCTTTGGAGGCGCTCACGTCCTGCCTGCCAACATGCATCCTCACTGGGGGTCTGTGGCCCTCCCACAGGCACATACAGGACCGATGCTGATGTCACCCTCGGACAGGACATGACTCTGACCTGTGTATGCGGCCGCACGGCTGAGTGAGGCCTGAGCTCTTGCTTGGTGGACGCTGTGCCCACATCACAGCTTCCTGTCCCAGGAGGGGGCTGGGGGATTCTCACAGGGTCCCTGCCAGCCCCCCCTCCCCCCACACACACACAGCTTGCCCTGCCCTGGCCGGGGACAGCTGCAGCCTCTCCTGTCACCAGGGGGCAGGTCAGAGCAACACATCACCCACTGCAGGCCCAGGGAGGCTGGGAGCCATGAACTGACAGCTCCTTGTTGCTGGGGCCCCAGTTCTGCCAGGGCTGGGTGGCGTCTTCCTCTCTGCTTCTCGCTTTTGTGTGATGAAGTCAGCGGTGAGCCGGGTTAGGACAATGCGCCACAAAACGTGGCACATGCGTGCTTGATGTCCAATCATGTGGGTACCTCCAGTATTGTTACTCTCACCAGCAGCTGGCGTCTGAGAGCAGCGGTCTGGGAATCATGACTCTCACGGGTGCGGGAGGCAGAGCCCCTCCATACAGGAGACCACCCTCACGAGACCCCCAAGAATGTGGCCCTGTCTCAGTGGTGCCACAGACCACATTCATAGCGCTGCCTACACCCCTGCCTGTGCTGCCCACTGACGCCACAGGAACATCTTAATTCTGCAGGGAGCTGTTGCTGCAAAAGCTTAGTGTCTCTATCACTAGAAACACACACACACACACACACACACACAAACACACATTCTCATCCAAGTGAAAACGCAGACTTTGAGTGTTTGTAGAACCGAGGCCCAGGTTATGCCAGTCCTGGCTGTTCCACTTCCGATCCAGCTCCCTGCCAATGCACCTAGGAAAGCAGCAGAAGATGGCCCAAGTGCTTGGGCCCTGCAGCCACGTGGGAGACCCAGAAGAGCTCCTGGCTCCTGGCTTTGGCCTGGCCCAGCCCCACTGCGGTCATTTGGGGAGTGAACCAGAGGATGGAAGATCTGCCCCCACCTCAATTCCTCTCTCTCTGTCAGTCCGCCTGTCAAATCAATCAATTAGTCTTTGTGAAAGGGCGTGTAGAATGGCTGTCCCTGAGGAGCACCCCAAGCAGGCGTCAAGGAAGCAGCTCCAGACACCCACAGGCCAACGGCGCCATCTCGGGGGAGCGGAAGGAACTGAAGCAGGTGTGAAGTACCCTGGTGCTGGGAGGTGCCAGCTGGCACAGCCCACAGCCTGGAGGGTCCACCTTGGCAAGAGGTGTTCGCCCTCCAGGTGGGGGTGTTGGGGGAGGAGCAGGCCCGTGAGATGGGGGGTGGGCGGCTGGGATCACTCCCCGCCCTGCACACCCTCCACCTCCACCTGTGAGGTGACTCTGACAAGAAGGAGAGAACCCACACAACTCTCCTTCCTCCATCATTGTGGCCCCACTTCCTCTAAGAGGGATGCTGTGTGCAGTCTGGGGGACACCAGTAATTCTGACACCACACCACTGTCCCAGGCACTGTCCCAGGAACAAACAAAACCACAACAGATGGCTCCAGACCCACGGGCCCAGCCAAAGAGATAGCGAGAGCATCGGAATCCTTCAGCAGGTGGGCATCTGGCCTAGTGGTTAAGACACCAATGTTGGCCGGCGCCGTGGCTCAATAGGCTAATCCTCCGCCTTGCGGCGCCGGCACACCGGGTTCTAGCCCCAGTCGGGGCTCCAGATTCTGTCCCGGTTGCCCCTCTTCCAGGCCAGCTCTCTGCCGTGGCCAGGGAGTGCAGTGGAGGATGGCCCAAGTGCTTGGGCCCTGCACCCCATGGGAGACCAGGAGAAGTGCCTGGCTCCTGCCTTTGGATCAGCGCGGTGTGCTGGCCACGGCGGCCATTGGAGGGTGAACCAATGGCAGGGGAAGACCTTTCTCTCTCTCTCTCTCTCACTGTCCACTCTGCCTGTCAAAAAAAAAAAAAAAAAAAAAAAAAAGACCAATGTCCCTGGGTTTCAGTCCCAGCTCTGTATCTGCTTCCAGCTTCCTACCAGTGCCAACCATGGGAGGCAGCCGTGAGGGCTCAAGGACTTGGGCCCCTGCCACCTAGGGGGGAGCCCTGGATTGAGTTTCCAGCTCCCTGCTTTAGCCTGGATCCCTGGCTGTTACAGGCATTTGGGGAGTAAACCAGTGGATGGAAGAGATGGCTTGCTTGCTTGCTTTCTCTTCTCTTTCTTTCTCTCTCTCTCTCTCTCCCCCTCCCTCTCAAATAAATAAAATTTGTTTTTACAAAAGAATCCCTCAGGTCACTGGGCCTGGCCTGCCCCCAGCTCAGCCCTGGGAGATGGGAACAGCCACATTTGCAAGGATTTAGGGTGGAGAATTCTCAGGATTACAGGCTCAAATCCAAGCCGTGATAAAGTCTTGACGCATCTCGTCTCTTGGAAACCCTTTTAGGAACACACCAGCCCTCCCAGCATCAAACACAGATGAACTGCTGCTCGTGCCGGAGGCCAAGCCCCTGGAGCCACAGTCCTGGAGAGCTGCAGGCTGTGTGTAGCTGCCGGCACATCCTGTCCATCAGGCGCCGTGGGCGGTGTCCACAGCGACAAGCTTTTCCAGGTTATAAAAATATGTGAAACCTGAGAAAGTGACGATTACACCTCCAAAATGCAGACAGGAACCCACAAGGCCCAAAGAAACGAACGCCTCGGCAAGCATCTGCACGACACCCTGTGACCTCGGTGAGCTGACGGCACGCGCAGCTCTGACCGCCCCACAAACTGCCTCATAGCAGGATGGGGGCACTGCCCGAGCTGTGTCAGGGGTGCGGCCTCCAGAGCTTCCCCGAGCCCACAGAGGCCTCTCCGGGGCCCTGCTGACCCACCTGCCCACACCCGGCCCTTGCTCACTGACACCCCTCTCCCAGCTAGGCTCCCTGACCCGGCTCCCTCAGCCCACCCCCGTTTTGCATCCCCCTGCCTCCTGCTCACTGTGGCTGTCACTGGCCATCTAGACAAAGCTGATGCCCCAGGAATCCCCCACGAGCCTGGACAAGCAGCTGGGCACCTCCTCCCACCCCCATGAGGAATCCCAGCAGCTGGCTGTGGCTACAGCCAGCACAGCCGAGCCCTGCTCGCACAGGCTCGGTGGGCATTGAGGGACTGACCACAGGCCCTGGCCCAGGCTTGCATGGGCAGGGTCTTCCCTGAGTGGGAAACTGGGAAGGAAGATCCACGGGCGCCAAGTGCACATGGAATCTGGTAGACCTGGACCTAACTCTGCTTCCCGGGCGACTTGGGACAAATAATATTGAGTCTGAGCCGCTTTACAAGTTAAGATCGGTATTATGGTAATTATGGTAATCACTGGTAATTATTAACACTGGGTATGAATTATCACACTCAAGTGACTCTGACACAATACCTACTTCCTGTAGGATGCTGGGGGCTAACAGAACCTCATGTGTTAACTTCCAGTTTTTACAACAGGGGACACTTCTGAGATTTTACTGGATCCCAAGCAATCCGCAGTTTTCCAGGCATGACTTCAAGGACTCCTCACAATTCTATTTTTCATCCCTGTGTTGTCACAGAGACGTTAGAGCCCACACCAGCTCAGGCTCACAGGGATCTGGATAGAGGCAGGTCTCAGCCCAGCCCTACCCACCAGCCCCAGCAGGAGCTTTACGCATCACACCCTCACTGGGGCAACTCCACACACACCTGGATTTGGACGATACTCCCCTCCCACGCCCCCCTATTCCGGAGTGAAATGCCCTGAGAAGTCCTGCAGCCCCTCCCAGCCTGACCCCAGGTGTGTGAGGGGCCATCACAAGACCAGCTGCACAGGGCCAGCGCGGTGGTATATCAGGTAAAGCCACCACCGGGGACCAGCATCCCATATGGGAACCAGTTCAAGTCCTGGCTGCTCCACTTCCAATCCAGCTCCCTATTAATGCTCCTGGGGAAGCAGTAGAAGATGGCCAAGTGCTTGGGCCCCTGCACCCATAGTGGGAGACCCAGATGAAGCTCCTGGCTTCAGTCTAACCCAACCCTGGCCATTGCTGCCATTTGAGGAGTGAACCAGCAGATGGAAGACCTCTTTGTCTCTCTCTCTTACTCTGTCTTTCAAATAAATAAATAAAAACTAAAAGACCAGCTGCCCAGGATCACAGCCCCATTTAAACCCAGTGCTGGGCACACACGCCAGGTGGACCAACAAGCACCAGCCAGCATATCTGCTCCAGGCCAGTTCAGCAGCTGCCCGGGCTCCTGGTGAATGTTTCCAGCCACAGGGAGCTCACTGCTCCCCTCAGTAGCTCATACTAGTTAGAGCTTTGCAAAGCCCAAAGGGTCCTGCCCATAGCTGCATCCCACTGGCCCAGCCAGGTCATCCAGTGCCGCACCAGCTGGGCAGTCACCACACCAGCTGCTGAAGACCCCTAGCCTTGCATCCGGCTCCTGCCTGCCTGCCTGCGCAGATGAAAGCAGTCACATTCCAGCATTGAACCGGCTCCTCTCCACTGCTCGCTCTTGACCCAGCCCTGCCTATCAGTCTCCCCAGCCAAGAAGGGGCGGTCCAGGCCAAGGAGGGTTGTGGCAGATGCTGTAGACACTTCTGGCTGCGCCAGCCCCTCACATTCCTGATGCCCCTGCCCTTGGCAAACACCTGGGACACCGCTGCTGGGTAACACTCCTGTCGCTGCTGGCTGGTACTTGGGCTCTGGGCTGGGATCCCAATGACCTTGGGCCACTTCCTGTTCTTGCCCTGCCCTCCCCTGCCACAGCAGCTCCCAGTCACGTCTGCACCTGTACCTTAAAAGACTCCAGGAATCCGCCGTGACCCCCATTCTCAAACTTGTCCTCCTCGGGGCCCAGCCCCAGCATGGCCTGCGTGTGGACATGGAGCTCATCGTGGAGGTTGTCCAGCAGGGCGGCCCTCGTCCGGTCCTGCAAGGAAAGGGTGGAGTGAAGGAGCTGCCACCAATGGCAAGGACATCCCCAGTCCTCATGGGCTCCAGATGCCTGACTGGGGCTGCTATTCTACCCGCTCACACCCTGGCCATGGGGTGGACCCCTAGGTGGGATGGGCTTCGTGTTCCTAAATACTGCAGGCAGCCTGCATGCTGCGTGCCCAACCCCCTGCTCTCAGCTCTGTCCCTTCTCCCTGAGGTCTCGTCCCCACCCTCCTGCAGCTCCTGGGCTGACTCCCAGCCCAGGTCTCTGCTCCAAGTCTGCTGTGTTCTCTCCAGCCAGGTATTCATCCAGGGCCAGGGAAAGCCGAAGCCACCAGGGGGCGCCAAGTACCCAACCCAGAGTGAGCTGTTTCAGTAGATCACTCTCCCAGCTGTCCCAGGGCCCCACCTGGAACAGGCCCGCCCAGGAGGACAGGGAGAAACTCCGAGCCGAGCGGGCGCTCACCTCCAGCTTGGCAAACTTGTCCGACTTGCAGCAAGCATTCTCTGCGTTTGTGAGCTTGGTCAGCAGAAACTCCCGGAACTCCGGGCCCTGGAACAGACAAGAGGGACCACAACTCGCCCACTCTCAGGGCTCTGGGGTGGACCCCAGCAGAGCCCCTTCAGACACTGCACTGAGCCCCCTACTGCTCCCCCGTCCTGAGACATGACCCTCCCCCACAGAGGCGCTCCCCTCACAGGGGCCACTGCTCCCTAGGCTGGGGCCCGAGCGAGGTGTCTCAACCCTTCCTCTGGCAGTGAGACACAGCTCCACGTGGGGCCCTGGGCTGGGCCAGATGGGCAGCACGAGGGGAGCTGGCAGAAGACCCCCCAAACCTGTGAAAGGGCCTCCCTTTCCACCTTGCTCCAATTGCCGCCACTCAGCGGCAAGCAACTGGGGTCCTGGATGTGCAGAGCAGAAACTCACCTTCTGGAAAACAGGGGGGCTGGGCAGGGGTGGGCCGAAGGCGGGCACGTCTTCCCGGGCGGTGACAGAGACCTGAACGGGACACGGAGTCACGCGTGGGCGCAGGCTGGGAGAGAGAGGGACGGTTGCCCCTGATGCCTTCACCCTCCTCCCCTCCCCCTCCACGAGCAGCCAGTGCAGGCCCGGGCTCTGTCCCTGCCAGTGGAGCCCTGCAAGTCCTCCGGGCAAGTGGAGCAGGACAAGCAGCCAGGCTGCCTGGGGCTCGATGGCACACGGCAGGGCTGGGACAGGTCACTGGTCACCCGGTGCAGTGCAGATGGCAGGCCCTGGAGAAGGCACCAGAACTACTAGCCCTGGGTACCTGGCGAGGAAACAACGCTCACAGCCACACAGGCGACCAGCACAGGGAGGACCAGGGTCCAGACCGTCCCACCCCAGCTCAGGCATCTTCCCACACCCAGCCAGACATCAGAATCATTGCAAATAGTTACAAAACAAATGGCTGGCTCCCCACAGCCTGGGGACCTGGGGGCAAGGGGGCTCTGAGGAGCTGTCGTGCAGCCAGGGGGTGCCATCTGGGAGGCCGGCCCCTAGCAGTCAGCCGGTCTGGGTCTGGGTGAGGCTCCAGGGCCCAGGTTGGGACCTGAGGGAGAGGGGGACATGGAGGCCCTGGGTAGGGTGCACACCCCCAGGCAGCGTGAAGGGAGTGGAATGGCGGTGGTGTGAGAGCGTCCAGGCACTCACAGCCTCTCTGGCTCCTCCCCAGAGGCAGGTGCGCTGTTTCACCTGTTCTCAGCCTGCAACGCTGCAGGCCCTCAGGAGACGCTGCCCTCTCCCTTCCTCCGGCCGCTGCTGCTGTGCGCCGGGCCTGGGCTCACCGTCAGCCCCCCAGTCTGGGAAGGAGGGCAGATGCAGTCTGCCAGCCCCGGGCGAGCAGGCAGCCGGGAGCCACGCCAAGGAAAAGCCCTGCCAGGGTCCGCAGGGAAAGGCAGGGGAGAGACTGGGTCCGTGCGGGCTTCCGCTCCCCAACCAGTGCTTCTGCGTGGCCCAGTTGCAGGGCCGAGCCAGGAAACGGTGCGGGTCGGGCTGCGTCCTCTCGGGCGAGGCTCTAGCTGCCGAGCCCAGTTCCCCACCACCACCCACTGAGCAGGCACTGGTGGTCCAAGTCAAACGCTCCCCCCTTGAAGTCAGCACTGGGGGCAGGGCCGTGAGAAGCTGTGGGGAGGCTTCCAGCAGCAGCTCATGGGACAAAGGACAGGGCCAGGCCTGGCTAGGTCCCCTCCCGCCCAGGTGGGTCTCTGCTGATGGCTGAAGGGGTTTCCCAGCTGCCCATCAAGCACCTGTGTCCCCCAGCCAGGCAGTCCCACCTGGCAGCCGGGACAGAAACACGGGGACACCCCTCGCTGTCCCAGGCATCACTGCCTTCCCCTGGGCCCATTCCAACATGGCGGCAGGGCTTGGGGGTCCTCTCCTCTTGGGGACGTTCAGGTTGCTTCTGAAAGCAGAGGCTACCTGCACACACCACCACTGGACGAGGCCTTAGGGAGCAGCAGCAGGGGGACCTCAGCGAAGGGCATCGTCAAGGCTGTGGAGCAGAAGGAGCCAGGGCGTGGGAACCAGGATCCGGGAGGGAGCAGGCCTCGGAGGACAACGTCCCCTCGTGCGAGTGTGGCCTGGGGAGCTGAGGGGCCCATGGAGAGTTGTCCAGGCCACACGAGCACCAGAGGGAAGAGAGTGCAGACATCTACACAGCACTTCCGGGGTGGGGAGGGGGGTGCCCCCGGCCAGGGGGAAGAGGGTCCTGGTGATGGCCCAGCTGGAATTCCCTTCTAGCACAGCGGGGTGGGGATGAAATCCCTCTCTGAAAAAGCAGCCCAAGTGCCACTTACGCACACCTGCTGCGAGGCGGGTCCTCCCACCTGCTGCCACGACTTGGCAGTGAAGGCACGGGCATCGGGGCAGGAGCCCAGCTCCCCTGGCTCCGAGGCCTCGGCTCTGTGTGACCGCTGCTCACAGCCTCAATTTGCTCACCCGCCTCCCCGGGGCCTTGTTAGGATTCCAGAAGACTGGCTTCCTGGCCCCGTGCAGCGCCTGGCACCAGCAAGCACTTTCCCTGCTCACCACATGAGAAAGGGCATCTGAAGCAGATAGTTCTCCCAAACCACTTCATAATCCACTACACACACACACACACACACACGCGTGTGTGCACGCACATGCACACGTGTGCAGATACGCATGCACATGTTCACACACACCCTAAGTTGCTCTTCCCCTCCCACAGCACGCCCCGACTGGAAGGGTTCACACACAGGGCATCTACTCAAGCTTCCTCATTCACAAAGACAGAAACAAAGGCCCAGAGGAAGAAGGACCTGGCCCTAATTCACACAGCAGTCACAGGCAGGGCCAGGACCAGAACCTGAGACTGCCAAGCCACTGTCTGCACCTTCCCCCACCCTTCCCTCCTCCCCAGGGGACGCCTCCTGATGCATCGCTCAGCCCCTGAAGTCCCACCCTCCTCTGCCCTAGCCCCTAAGCCTTCAGGGGTCGGTGAAGGCTCTCTGGAGATCTAACCAGCTCCCCTCACAGTCTGCACTTTACCTGGGGTGCTGCCAGGGGCACGGATGGACAGCGCTCTGGGCAGTGCCTTGGAGGCTCTCCTTCCCTGGCCCCAGTCACAGGCCTTGCCCTCCCACCTGGGTGCCTGCCTGGCAGGTGGAACACAAGGCCAAGATCCCACATCCTGGGAACTCAGCTCCTTGCCACCTCTCACAGGACGGTGCTTGGCCTTGGACCACAGACTGCAGTTGGAGACCAGACAGACACCTGTGGCAACAAAGCCAGAGCGGGGTGGGGGGTACCTTGGGGGACCCTGGTCTTTCTCTATATGGCTGGCTCACTCTGATAAAAAGCCCTAGGAGAGTGGCGAATCCAGTTCTCTGCGATCCAGTCCCTAGGAGGAGTGGAAAGCCAACACCCAACGTCCTCAAGAGGCCACGTTCTGCCCGCAGACAATAAGCGTGCGGACGACCCAGGCAGGGCCCAGGCGCCCTCCCAGCCCGGGGGACCCCCTCAGTGGCTGCTAAAACAACCAGCTGGCTACCCGAGCTGCCCAGCAGCGGAGCTGCACTCGGCGGTTCTCCATCCCTCCCCTGGGGTCAGAACAGCCCTGCAGGCTGCCCCGTGCCCTGCCCCAGCCTAGTGGCCCACTCATCTGGCATCGAGCCAGCTCCCTTCCACCCACAGACCAAGCACCTGTTTGAGGGAAATGCTCACTTCTATCCAAGCAGGTGACCCCATAGCCTTTGGAGCACTCCCACACCATGACAGCTAAAGCTGCCAGCGTCAGAGGAACAGGAACAGGAAAATGGCCATACAAAAAAATCAGCTCCCTTCAGGGGGTAGGGGCTGTGTGGTCCTCTAAGTCTCACTCTCGGCTTTAAAAGATGATGTGAATTTTGTGTTACTACCCTCAGTTTGCCCTGGTCTAACCATGACATCACAGCGTCACACACCACGGCCACTGGGAGGGGCTGGGCAGGGCTGCCTCCACCCCGGTGCTCGCACCCCTGCCTCCCGGCAAGTCTCGGAATTCAGACCCATCAGTGTCCAGACAGCCGATCAGAGGGGCTCCCCCGGGGCCTCCTCCCACCCTGCTCCCCAGAAGCATCTGCCTTGCTCTTTCCGCCCTTCCTGGACTGCCACTCATCCTCCTGTGCCCTCCTGAGCCTGCGGTCCACTCTCTCTGCTCCAGCTCAGCCTCACTCTGGCCAACAGCACTACCAGATCCCAAACATGGGCGCTCAGGGCTCCCCGCCCCGTGGGCTGAATGGCTGGGAGGTTGCCTGGAGCAGCACCCAGAGTCCCACTCCGCACCCCAGAGCATGAGCGCCCCTGGAAGCCCACTCACACCACGGCTAGGGCACCAGGCTGGGGAAGCGGGGCGGACGAGCAAGTACCTGCGACACGGTGAGTCCCCGTGTGCTCCACCCAGGGAGGCTGCCTCCTTACCTTGTAGGACGGCGTCTCTGTGCCCGGGGCCTCCGCCTGCACGACAATGTAGGCGTGTAAGAAGTTGGAGGCGATCATGTCCGGGACAAACGGAGTGTTTTCCTCTTGGAAGATGATGGCCACGATGTCATTGCCGATGTGTCTCTTTCTCTGCAGCTAAACAGAAAGCATTCAGGCAGCGTAAGCCAGGCGGGAACGACCTGTGCGGGCAACGCCGGCTTCTCTTCTCTCTACACCGAAGCCCTGTGAGTCTGAGACCACGCCCTCCGGGCACCTGCTTCCTTCCATCGCTAGAAGCCACCAAAGAGAAACAGAACGGAGCGATGCCCTCATCTTCCCGAGCGCCACAGCACGCAGAACCCTGACCTCGGGAGACTGCTGCAGAGGGGAGGCTGGTGTTGCCCTGGCAGGGCAGGTAACCGGTCCAGGAGAAACACAGGCACGGGTGCAGCCCCCCGAGAACACTGCCAGAGCCGCCAGCCAGCTAACACGATACTGACTGCTCTGGGGAGAGAGGGAGGGGAGTGCAATCAGATAGCAACCTGAGAAGGCTTCCTGAAGGAGGAGGAGGTGGGAATGTAGATGAGCAGGAATGGGAAAACAGCCTTGCACTGTTCACCTGGCTTGTCAGAAGTGGGGCAGAGGAGGACGCCCACGCCCCGCCCCACACTGCGCCCACATGACCTCGGCCCCACCAGGCACTCCCTGTGTGTCAGGAACCGTGCTGGGCTGTTCACATGCCTGATTACCAAGGTTAAACCCTTCCTGTCCACAAGTCCTGGCTGGGTGCCTGCTATGCACCTGTGCCTTTATGAAGCACCTACTGCATGCAGGTCCTTCACAGCGAGTTTCTCATCTGCCGAGCACCTGCTCTGCACCGCGCGTCGCGCTGGGCACTTTTCCATAAATCACCTCACTTACTCCCCACACGTCCTCCCATTTCTTAGGAAGAGAAAACTAATATTGACTCAGTCCCTGCCAAGAGCCACGCTCTGTGCCAAGGTACACTCCCCAGCTAACACACGGGAAGCTGAAAGGGCCCTGGAGCCAGCCTCAGCCCCCGGCAGGGCAGCAGGCGAGGGACTGGGAGGGGACAGGGACAGGAGGGCACTGTGGACACTGGGAGAATCCTCTCACTTGCCTCTGGAACACGCAGTGTATGGGGGACAAATCAAGCATCACCTCCCTTGCCAGTTTCCTGTTTCCCTAAGAAGCCAGGCGCTATGCTTCCAAGTCTACATCAGTGCTCCCTCCCCAGGTGCAAACACAGAGGTCAGAGCCCGCACAAAGGCCCACCGCCCTTCTGGTCCCCCCAGCCCCCGAGACTGGAAAGGGGCCAAACATGGGAGGGGGCGAACCGTGCTGCAGGGAGTGGCCACTGCTCCAGAGGCCCTTCCCAGGGCTGTGTGGCCATCAGGGCTGCAAGTCTGAGAGGCAGCAGGAAAACACCAGATGCCTGGGTCCCACCCAGGCTGCCCCAGTCCAGCAGAGGCCAGACTCCTGCCCGTAGCAGGTGTAGCGGGCGAGCTGCGGTGAGAGGGGCTCTCCTGCAGTCACAGCGTTTCACGAGGCTCCGGCTGGAGGTAGGCCAAAAAAGGCCAGCAGCCTGCATAGCCAGGGCCATTAGGAAGGGAGGCTGTGCATGAGCCACACTCAGACACTCATGGAACCCCCAAACAGCCCCTCGGGGAGGGGCTGCCGTCCCCATTTCACAGACGAGAACAATGAGGACACGGGGGTAACCAGCTTGCCCAGGGTCACACACCCCTAAGCAGCCCTCTGTGGACACCACCCTACATGATCAGGGCCCCCTGGCTCTGCTCCGCCCTCATCAGCCGGAAGACCTTAAGAAAGACACAGACCCCCCTGGGCTGTGGCTTCCCTATGGCCTGGCCTCCTGCATGGGGCTGCTGGGGTGCAGCTGGCCAGGGGAGGCACGTGACAGAACAGGGGATTGTTCTATTACCAAAGCGGGGAGGGGGCCGCAGTCCCCGGGGCAGGCTGGGCTGGGGTGGGGGACCAGCCTTCACCGGGAGCCCTCCCAGGCTGGTACCTGCTGGGTGTCTCCCTCGGTGAATGGCAGCTTTGTGGAGACGTGAAACATGATCTCCCTGTCCCGGAACGTTGTGTACACGGATTCCACCCCAGTCTGCCCGTGCGTCACATCCAGGCCTCCGCGGAAACTGTCAGCGAAACAGGGCAGGGGCAGGGGGAGAAGACAGTGAGCGGCAGACAACTCGCTGCGCCGTGCCGAGGCTGCACACAGCAGAGGCGAGAGGGAGGGGTCGCCACGTGGGAGAAGCGAGTAGGATCGTGCTCTTGGCAGACTGGCCCCAGGTTCCAACCAGGAAGCCATCATTGAACAGACAAAGGGGAGGGCGTTGGGAGCAGCGATTCAGACACCTCTCCCGTTGCCTGCCTCCTATGATTTCCTAGCCTGAGTTCAGGTTCCAACTCCTGCTCCCGACTCCAGCTTCCTGCTAATGCACACCCTTGGGAGGCAGCAGATGATGACTCAAGGGGATAGGTCCCTGCCACCCAAGTGGGAGGGTTGGATGGAACCCCCATTGCTGGTTTCAGTCTGGCCCAGCCCTGGCTGCTGCACCCATGTGGCGAGTGAGCTGACAGGTGAGAGGTCTCTGTCTCTGCCTTTCAAGATAAATAATTTTAAAAACAGTAAGACAAAGGGAGAACCTCCACTTCAAGCCCTGGCTGTGTCCCCTCCACACCGACAGTCAAGTGGGGAGGGAGGCTGACTATCCACAATCCCAGACAAGTGCTGGTCCCACCCCACAAGGATGGGCACAGGCCTTTAGTCCCTGCAACACCAAGGCCAAGCCCTCATCCCAGAGCCAAGACCACCAGCCAGGAGCATCCAGAGTCAGCCAGGAGAGTGGCAGATGCTAGACGCCAGCCCCAGCGCGGCACTGGACAGCTTGGAGGTATTCCCAGAGGCCCCTTCTCCAGCCATGTCTCCACAAGTGGGAAAGAAAGCAAAGAAGGAACTGGGAGGGCTTCCAGGAGCTGTCTCTTCTGCCTTTACAGAAACATGGCTTCATCAGGGGCAAGAGAATGCAGGTGCAGCTTCCTCTAAGACAAAGCAATAGGGGCCAGCGCTGTGGCGCAGTGGGTTAAGCCTCTGCCTGCAACACCAGCATCCCATATGGAAGCCAGTTCAAGTCCCAGCTACTCCACTTCCAATCTGGCTCCCTGCTAATGTGCCTGGGAAAACAGGAGAGGATGGCCCAGGTACTTGGGTCCCTGCACCCAGGTGGGAGACCTGGAAGAAGCTTCCAGCTCCCGGCTTTGGCCTGGCCCAGCCTTGGCCGTTGAAGCCATTTGGGGAGTGAGCCAGTGGATGGAAGGCCTCTTTCTCTCTGTCTCTTCCTCTCTCTGTGTAACTCTTTCAACTAAATAAACAAATCTTTAAACAAAAAAAAAAAAGGAAAAGGAAAAGCCACAGGCACTTGGATGTCAGTGCCCCAGCTGTGTAACACAAGCCAGAAAGTCTGTTCAACCCAGCAGGATGCTGGGCTGGGAGTCAAGGAGCCCCGGGTTCCACTCCTGCTTCTGCCACTAAGTCAGCACGTGACCTCGGTCATAGGACTCAACCTCTTTCACCCTCGGTGTCCTTTCTCTGTGACACGAAGGGACGGGATGGCACGATCTGCACCGGTGCACGGTGCTCGCTGAGGTGCTTCCCACACACGGCCTGTTCCCACGTCCTCAACAACCTCGCGGGGTCGGGACCACGTTCCTCTCCCTTTGCACTGATGGGGAAACTGAGGCCACAGAGGTAAAGCCACAGAGCCAAAAAGTGGCGGGGCTGGGGTTTCAGCCCAGGGGCAGCAGCTATGATCTTGCAGCTGGTGAAGATGGGGGAAGAGGGAAAAGGAGAAACAGTGGAGAGGGGGAAGCAGGGGACGAAAGCAGTTCCTGAACTCCTTCTGTGTGCCGCACGCTGGGCTTTCACGCCTGCTGGTTGGGGTTCCTGTTGCTTTGGCTGCTAGGGCGGGGGGGTGAGTGGGGGGTATCCCAGGGCCTGAGTCACCTGGCTGGCCAAATGTACCCTCTGCAGAAAGCAAGGGCTGGAGTTTTCCAGCCCCAATATTCTCTCATTCTCTCATTCTCTCTGCACTCACAGCATCTGAGATCATCACGTGCAGCTTATATCTGCATAAACTCTTAATGATCCATTCTCTGCACAGTATCTAAAATGGGTCATTCTCCCCCAAAATTCACAGGGCTTGCTCTGTTTCTTGAATGCCTGGCAGGTAAGTGGCGTGGAGGATGGATTCCTTTCGCTCTATCTGAGCCCAGTGTAACTAGGAAGGCGCACGTGGGGGGAGGCACTGCCATCGCATATCCTAAGGCTGAACCTCAGTGCCTTCCAGATGTTCTGCCACAGTGGGTTATCCTCGGACCACTGGCTCAGGCGGGTTATCCTCGGACCACCGGCTCACGTGCAGGTCAGTGAGGGCTGAGCACATGTCGGAGAACAAATCCACATCTTCTGGGTGTGTGTTTGAACTCCCACATGCTCTCCCAAGAACTGAGCTGTGTGCCCCCTGCCCCTCCTAGAACCTCATCAATGGAGACACACGCAGGTAGGGGCTGGCATTGTGGAGCAGCAGGTGAAGCCATCATTCACAATGCCAGCATCCCATAGGAGTGCTGGTTCAAGTCCCAGCTGCTCGGCTTCTAATCCAGCTCCCTGCTAATGCGCCTAGGAGAGCAGAGGATGATGGCCCAAGTACTTGGGCCCCTGCCATCTGTGTGGGCTACCTAGATAGCCTTCCAGGCTCCTGGCCTTGGCCTGGTCCAGCACTGGCCATGGCAGCCATCTGGGGGTGAACCAGCAGATAGAAGTGCTCTCCCCACCCCCATCACTCTGCCTTTCAGATAATTTTTTTTAATGCAGCTGGAGTCACCGCTTGGCTGCAAACCCACCCTTTGAAGTCCTGCAGTGTGATCGTGTCCCCCAGCAGGTCCAGGAACTCCTTGAAAGCTGGGCTCTCCTCGTTGTTCCCAAAGAGCTCCTCCTCCAGGGTCTGCAGAGAATCAGAGACGGGGCAGGGGTCAAGAAAAGCCTGCTTGATGCCGGGAATACAGCTGCCCAGACACCTGATCCCGACCTCCCTTCCTCCCTGTCTCCCGAATAACACTGGCCATAGTTGTCCAAACTGGAGAAGCACCTGACGGCCCACTGGAGCGGGCTCCCCTGGGCTATTATTGAGGTCTTTTTGTTGAGCCAAACTCGCTGGTCAGTTTGATAGCAAAGCTGAGCCAAAGAGTTCTTAGATTGGATGCCAAAAACAGGATCCATCCCTGGACAACTGGCAAGTGGACTTCCAGTAAGGGGCTAGCAGCGGGACACAGAACCTCGACAAGCCTGCAGTGACCAAACCTCAACACGACACTGCTTCACACCCACCAGCATGGCCACGACTACAAAGAAAGGCGGTAACAAGCATCGTAGAGGATAGGGAAGACTGGAACTTCATTCACCCTTGGGGGGGACATCAAGTGGTACGGTCAGAGGCGGAGCCTCAGCCAGCAGTTAAGACGCCAGCTAAGACGTCCCTGTCCCACATCGGAGAGCCTGGCTTTGACACCCAGCTCTGGATCCTGACTCCAGGTGCATGTAACGCACACCTTGGGAGGCAGCAGGGAAAGCTCAAGTGATTGGCTTCTTGCCACCCACATGGAAGGCCTGGATTGAGTGCCTGGCTCCCCGTTTTGGCAGGGCCTGGCCCCAGCTACCGGAGGCATCTGGGGAATGAATTAGTGAGTGGGAGTGGGAGTGTACTCTCTCTGCCTCTCAAATTAAAATTAATCAGTAAATAAAATGGTGCAGCCACCCTGAGCAAGGGTGGCAGTTCCTCAAAAGGTTAAACACAGACTTCCCATATGACCCGCTAACTCTAAAGAAATGAAAACTCCACCCAAAAAGGTGCACACGTATGTTAGCAGCAGCACGCTTCATAGCAGCCCAAAAATGAAGACGTCCCAGCGTCCATCAGCTGACGGAAGGATCAACACAGCGTGAACTCTGCACAACAGGACACTATTTGGTGACAAATAAGGACCCTGACACAGGTGAGCCTTGAAAACGTTACGCTGAGTGAGAGAGGCCAGCCTCAAAGGCCACTATGGTAAGTGTGACTCCACTTCTCAAAGGTCCAGACCAGATGGGTCCATACACAGAAAGTGGATTCATGGGGGCCAGGAGCCAAAGGGCGCAGGGCTGAGAGCAACTGCAGGTGGCTGTTGGGTTTCCTCAGGGGCTGAGGGAATGTTCTGGAATGAGATAGTGAAGACTGTTGAACCACTCTGTGGTCCTACCACAAACCACTGACTCGTACACTTTATTGGGCTATAATTCACATGCTACCACAAACTACATGGTATGAGATTATACCTCCAGAAAAAAATCTCAAACTCCACAGTAAGGGAAAAATCCAGTTAGAAAATGGTCCAAAGACAAGAATGGACCTTCCACCCAAGAGATCACACACACGGCAGACAGGCACACAGAAAGATGTCCAGCACCACGAGCCACGGAGTGGGCGCTAGCAGCCATCAGCACGGCTAAAGCAAAAACTGCACCAACTGGCCTCACGCCCCGGGGGCTGGCGCAGCCAGGGAGACGCGGGCTCGCTGCTGCGCTGGAGAGGGAACCACCCCTCCCACACTGTTGGGCAGTTTTTACAAACCCCACATGAATTACCGTACAACCCAGCACTCATCCCACAGACGTGAAAACTCAAGTTGCAAGTGTTCCCCACAGCTCTCTGCAGCACAGTCCCACGCTGGAAGCCATTCAGGCGTCCTTCAGAGGGTGAGCACTTAAACTGCGGTGTGTTGATGCCACGGATACTACTCGGCAATAAAGAGATGCTGACTGCTGATACACTCAAGACCCCGGACGGATGCCACAGAGCAGAAAACAGCCGATCCCAGGACTAGTGTTGTGGCACAGCAGGTAAGCCACTGCCGGCAACACCAGCATCCCGTCTCGGAGCACCAGTTCGAGTCCCAGCTACCCTGCTTTCCAGCCAGTTTCCTGCTAACGTACCTGGGCAGGTGGCAGGTGACGGCCCAAGTACCTGGACCGCTGCCACCCATGTGGAAGAACCAGAGGGAGTTCCAAGCTCCTGGCTTTGACCTAGCGCAGCTCTCGCTGTTGTAGCCATTTGGGGACTGTCTTTCAAATAAATACATTTTTAAAACAAAAACGAAAATAGCCAATCTCAAAAGTTCAAATGTATATAACATGTACATGTGTATGTAACTTACATTTTTGATGTAACAAATGTATACAACATGTTTTAAATAACAAAGCTTTTTGAAACTGGAGAGCAGATTAGTAGGTCGCCCCTGTGGGGACTGCAGGGGAGAAGGGAGAGCAGAGGCAGCCGGGGGAGGAGGGCGTGGTATCCAGGGGACTTCTGTGTCCTGACCACAGAACCTACACTTAGAGAATTACACACAGCGTCACACACACACAACAAGTACGTGTAAGGCTAGGGAAATGTGGGTAAGACCTGGGCACTGCACCACCGTCCAGACCCTGGCTGTGATGTTGCGCAGGAGCTCGGGGGAAACCGGGCAGGGTGCAGGAGCTCACTCTGTACTCCTCCTCACTGCTGCATGTGGAAAGCCAGCTCCGCAGGCAGCGCCAGGCCCACAACACCACTAGCCCTGTGTGATTAACAAGCTCAGCCCCGCGGCAGGATCCCAACGGCAGCAGGCTCTGCAGATACCCACGGAGCACAGGGACCGGCTGCACTCAAGGGCACGCCCATCTGTCCAAGCACTTCCAGGAGTCTCCCGTAGGTGACTCCTCAACACTTCCCTGACACCTGTCTTAGAACAAAGAGGAACAGACCATGGCTTCCGAGCCTTCACAGGCAATAGAATCTAGCAGGTATCAATAGCTTTATTTTGATGATTTGAACGTATTTCTTTTTGGATTCACTTTCATTTCATGGCAATTGACACTAGTTTTACAGCTTAAGAATTACATAAATTTACATAATTTCTTTGGTAATAAATACTTTTGGGACCAGTGTTTGGGACCACGGCGCCAGCCCCAATAAATAAACTATCAGCTAAGCTACAGCCTGTGACACCAGGATCCCATATGGTTGCCAGTTTGTGTCCCAGCTGCTGCACTTCCAATCCAGCTGTCTACTAATACCCCAGGAAAGCAGTAGAAGATGGCCCAAGTCCTTGGTCACCTGCCTCCCACATGGGAGACTCAGAGAAAGCTCCTAGCTCCTGCTCCTGGCTTTGGTCTGGCCTGATCCTGGCCATTGTGGCCATTCAGGGAGTGAACCAGTGGACAGATTATTTCTCTCTCTAATTCTTCCTTTCAAATAAATAAATAAATTTCTATTTTTTTTGAAAGTCAAAGATAGAAAATGGCCAGGGTTAGGCAGGCTGAAGCCAAGAGTTTCTTCCAGGCTTCCCACACGGGTGCAGGGGCCCAAGGACTTGGACCATCCTCCACTGCTTTCTCAAGCACATAAGCAGGGAGCTGGACTGGAAGCAGAGCAGCCGAGACTTGAACCGGTGGCCCCTGCACTGCAGGTGGTGTTTAACCTTCTACACCACGGCGCCAGCCCCAATAAATAAACTTAAAAAAATAAAAACTGAAGAAACAATTTAAGTTTTTCAAAAAACCTTTGAAAGTATTAAGCAGTTAATAGTAACAGTGGCACATAAGGAAACAAACTAGAGGGCAAAGGTGCTGAAAGTGCCTTGTGAATGTGTAAAGTTTGGGAAGCACTGGTTTACAGTGAAGTCCACAAACTAGGGCCTCTGGACCATGTCTGGTCTGCTACCTCTTTGTTTGCTTTTAAGATTAATCTACTTATTTGTTTATTTATTTGAAAGGCAGAGTGACAGAAAGAGAGGGACAGAAAAAAAGAGATCTTCCATCTGCTGGTTCACTCCTCAAGTGGCACCAACATTTGGCCAGACCAGGACAAAGCCAGGAGCCAGCAACTTCAACCAGGTCTCCCACATGGGTAGCAAGAACTCAAGTACTTGGGTCATCATCCTCTGCCTTCCCAGGCACATTTGCAGGGAGCTGGATCAGAAGCAGAGCAGCTGGACTTGAACCAGTGCTCCAATATGGGATTCTGGTATCTCAAGTGGCAGAGTAACCCCCTGCCCCTTAGCACCAGCCCCTGCGGCCTGTTTTTATCACAGAAGTTTTACTGGAAAGTAGGCTAGCCTATTTACATGTTGCCTGTGACTGCCCTACCAAAGCAGAGCTGAGCTGCTGTGGTGGAGACGTCCAGGCCCAGAGAGTCTGAAACAGATCCAACTGGTCTTTATAGCTAGAGCTGGCTGATCCCTTATCTACATCGCAACTCTCGCCAAACATCCTCTCTGCCCAGGGTCATGAGGGCTGCGTGTGGGCGAGCAGCTGCTTCCAATCTATCAGGAAAGCAATGCAGTGCAGGTTCTAGGGCCCGCACCTCTCTCTCCTCCAGGATCACAGCCAGTCTGGCATTCGCATGGTCATTATTGTCAGGCTGGCCTTGAGCTTGACCGCGCACTCAGGGAGGGCATCTCAGTCCCTCTGCATCTCTCCCCATGGTTAGCACGCACATGACAAACAGAAGCATTAGAGAAGCTTATTTATAGCCGAAGACTGGCACAGGGCTTTTATGCAACCAGTGTTCATATTAAATGTCCACCAGCTGTAGGTTTGCAAAACCAACAATCTGTCCAGTTTAAAAAAAAAAAAAATTTATCTTCCTGCCTCTCCCCGCCCCGCAGCAGCAGCGTCAGGTACATAAACAACAGAGAGACTCCTTATCCGGGTGGACGGTTATTGCCCAGTAACTGTAACTTTGCCGGAACACTGGATTATAATCACCTGCTAAGGTGTGCTTTGGTAAATTTCACAACAAAGAACTTTAATCAGGGGGGTTCCATCAGCAGCACTGTACAAATAAAAATGTAATAAGTGAAAATAATCGGAGCGGCTACCTGAATGATCTCCCTCGTGTTAGGAAAGCCATCAGTGCTGGCCCCTGAGATCCTAAACGCGCCCACCTAATGAGAGTGTTTTTAAGCGAACACATGTCTCTCACTGGCTAATATTTTCAGACACGGCCATCAGCCACCATCTAGCCAAGAAAGACACCGTCATGCAAACTAAGACGGCTAATACGCTGACCTGCATTAGCAGGGCCAGCAGTGTCAGGCATTCACGAGCCCCGGTAACGACTGGCGCGTTTATACACGGAGCTGTGCTAGGCTCTCGGAGGACGCAAAGGTGGAGGGGTGTGCAACCACCCTTCACAGAACCCGCGCGAGGGGACAACAGTGTGTTCAGCTGACCAAAAGGAGGACCAAAAGGAGGTCCTAGCAGGAAAGAGGTGGGGAACACATGAAGCTGGCCGTCAGGTAAGTGGGGAGAACGCTGGGCTCACCCCGCTAGGAAGAGTTCTTGAAAGTGAGGGTTCTCCAAGCCCCACCCCACCCCCAGTCATCTGCTCGCCGCATACCTCGCCACACAAGCATCTCACAGAGCACATTCTGAGAAACGTTATTCTGGCCAGCTAATTCCAGAGCCGCGCGTGAGTGCTGCCAGAGACAGAGGAGGGTGAGTCGGGTACGCTGGTCTGCTTGCTAACCACTGGCCAGTTGCCACGATGTATATGCTTCCAGCACGCCCGATCCCAGCGGCCGGTGTGACATCCCTGAACGCAGAGCCCCACACAGCGGGCTGGGGGGAAAGCAAACTCCCAGCTGGGACAGGGTGAGCCAGGGCAGAGCAGCTGGTGCCAGGCCACTCCCTCTACCTATTCTGATTCCCTCTGCAACTGACACAGCTACATCGCCATCTGCGGGCTTCCGTAAAGATTCTGCCACCTGTGGTCTGGTTCAGACTGTAAATGTGACGGCTGGACTCAGCATGTTCAAGAATCTCGTTCATGGGGCCTGGTGCATGGGGCCTAGTGCATGGTGCAGCAGGTTCAGCCGCAGCCTGTGACACTGGCAGCCTATATCAGAGTAGCAGCTTGAGCCCCAGCCACTCCACTTCTGATCCAGCTCCCTGCTAATGCTCCTGGGGAGGCAGAAGACGGCCCAAGTGCTTGGGCCCCTATACCCACGTGGGAGACCCGGAGGAAGTTCCCGCCTCCAGGCTTTGGGAAGTAGAAAATTTCTTTCTCTCTCTGTCTCGCTTTCTCTTGCCATTCAGCCTTTCAAATAAATAAATCTTCTGTTTGAAAAGATTTATTTATTTGAAAAGGCAAAGTGACAGAGAGGAGGAGAGTCAGAAAGAGAGAGGTCTTCCATCCCCTGGTTCACTCCCCAGATGGCTACAATGGCTCAGGCTGGACCCAGCCCAAGTCAGGAGCCAGGAGCTTCCCCTGGGTCTCCCACATGGGTGCAGGGGCCCAAGCACTTGGACCGTCTTCTGCTGCCTTCCCAGGCACATCAGCAGGGAGCTGGATCAGAAGTGGGACAGCCGGGACTTAAACCAGTGCCCATATGGGATGTCAGTGCTCCAGGCCATGGCTTTAACCTGCTGTGCACAGAGCTGGGGAGAAGAAAGGGAAAAAAAAAAAGAAAGAAAGAAAGAAAGAAGGAAAACCCTGTTTCAGGGGCCCTGTGCCTGGGGTGGAAGAGGTGTGGGGGAGCCGTAGGGTAGAGCGGTCAGGACAGTCACGCGCTTACCTGCCTGGCTTTCTGATAAATGACCCCGAATTTGAAGGTGTTGTTGACATCGTGCTCGTCGTAGGACACGATCATCTGGGAAGCCTGGGAAACATGGAAAAGAAACCAAGTCAAGGCAGCTCGCTGGTCCAGGAGCAGGCGGGCCTGCAAGGGCGGGGACAGGAGCCTTTAGGAGACGCCCACCACAGACGGGGAGGGGGAGGGAAGGGGGGGTCACAAGCAGGCAGTCAGGGCGCAGCTCCAACACCAGGGCCTCGCCTGCGTCATCCGCGCCACCCCCTCTAGACGCCGGCCAGCCGGACGTGGGGCACTGACCCCGTGTTTCACCTGGGGGGTAAAAGTGAGGCCAGGGGCCAGCGCGGTCAGCAAGGATGCCTGTGGTTCTGGTCCCACTCTACTCAACAGTACTCCTGCGGTTCTAAGGAGTCACTGCTCCTGCCCAGACTTCAATCCTGTTATCCACAGAATGACACCACTCTAAGGAACACCCCCAACACCGGGGGCAAGCACAAAGCTAAAAACCTGAGCACTGGCTCTATCTCACTCTCCGTGATGCCTGCGGTCAGAAACGCCGAACTCCAGCTGCAAATCTCCTGCTTTTACCCAGGTAGCTTTGAGAGCTGCCTAACTTCTCCTGGCCTCCGTCTCCTCATCTGGTAAACGGAGATGCGTGGTCACAAAGATTCAATGAGATCAGGGTCATGGAGTTCTGGGCACAGAGAAGCTACCATCAACATCACCGTCATCTACATAATGTTCCAGAAAGGTCAGAGCAGACCCCACGTGTTGGGAAAGAGAAGACCTGAGCCATGGGGATACCCTCTTGAGAAAGGGGGGCACGTGCACGGGTCAGGCCAGGGACAGAATGAACCGGCACGACTTGCTGACTGGCATGTGTGGCCACCCCCTGCGCATCCAGGTGATGGACACTTCTCAGCTCCCCTGCGAGAGCACCGTGTCCCAAGTCACAGGGGAGGGGCAGCTGTCCAACCAGGGAGAGGCACAAGGCCGAGAGGCTTAACTCTGCAAACTTTAAACACACACACACATCCCAGCCGGAGGGAGTGGGCCTGCAAACGCAGAAAACACAAACACGCAGCCGCTCTTCCCTCGCACTGGCCGGGCAGTTGACGGCCGTCGCCAGGCGCTGTCTGCAGACGTGATGTGACAGCAAGCCCGGCCACACCTGCGCACCATCCAGCCTTTCTGGTGAGGTCTCTGTGCTGGGTTAGACCTCACTAATTCAGCTCTAATTCTAAGGCCGGGAGGTCAGTCCAAAGGATGGGAAATGGGCAGTGGGGAGGAGTGGACTACTGGGCAGTGTCGACGGGTGCTGAAGAGGGAGGAAGGGCTCTGGGCACGAGGGGACTCTGCACAGGCGTGGCCACTGCAGGTGGATGAAGAGCCGCTTCTAAGACTGAACGTGGCAGGTGTTGGTCCCAGTGGATTCTTCTGGGTATCCCGGCCGGCACAGAGGCCTATCTGCCCCACCAGACAGTTCACCACATGGTTCCTGCTTTTCAGAGCTGGATCTCCAAGAAACCCCGGCAAACCCCAGCAAGCCTCAGCGGCCCCGCGCTGACCCACGGTGGAAGCCCAGAAGCACAGCTCTGCTGCTGTCTTCCCCTCCTGACCCTGCGGCTCACAGAGGGGGTGTCGGTGCCCCGGATTTTCTCCTGCAGCGAACTTCACGGGGTTGTCTGTCTATAGGAGACAGATGTCCTGTCAAACCCTGACTGCTCTGGAGTGGGCTTGTTCTTCCTGCTCCCCTCCCCATCCACACCCCTAGATCATAATAGGTCAAAGGCCAGCTCTAAGGAACCAGCCAGCTTACAAACCAAGGCTGGGCAGAGGCATACAGGGCAGAGCTGCAGTAACCTACACCACGGGGAGCCAGGGTCTGGCTTTGACTACTTAGTGGGCATCTGCCCCTTGCGCCTCACCCCTTCCATGATAGCAGGCTGGACCTGCACCTGCCCCCAGCTCCAGGCAGGATCATGCCCCACCCAGCGCTGGCCCCAGAGAGGAGAGGCTGGGACAAGGAGGAGAAGCTACACCATGGCTACCATTGCCACCTTCACAATAGGCTGGGGAGCCAGTCAGTCTGGCCGGGGACCCAGGCAGGCCTGAGGATGAGTTCTCCTGTGACCAGTTTGTGATGGGGTGAGCAGGGAGAGAGGGAGACATAGAGGCTTATCACAGACACCCCACAAAACTCCACCATGACACACAGGGCCACTCACAGAGCCCCAGGTGTGCAAATCTGTGCTAAGGGGCCAGGCCCTGGGTAATGGGTATAGGGAGGGCATTACCTTGGGGTACAGGACAGGGTTGAATTTCAGCCCCACTGCGTCATCACAGAAGGCCTGGACAGGGAGAGAATCACAGAGTCAGGGGGACTGTGACGGCAGAGCAGGCCTGTGCCCACCAAGAGAAAGCAGCATGGGGCAGAGGGGGAGGCAAGGCACACGGGGACAGGGGCCCTGGCTTCGGTCTGTCCCTGCTGCTCACTCTTCTGTGCCCACTCAGGGGACCTGTCTGGGGTTTCATGCTAAGGTGAGGGGAGGGACACAGACAAGCCTGAGACTTGGCTCCGTTCTGACCTTAAGACAATGAAAAGCCACCCAGCCCTGACCAAAGGGACTCGGCACAGCTCTGCCAGCACCCCCGCTCCCAAAGCAAGGGTCCAACCCAGCCCCAGCCTTCTCAGGACACTTCGCTGCTCAGGTTCCTCAGCTCCCAGTATCCCCAGGCAGTGACAAGGGCCCTGCCACCCGCTGGTGGCTCCTTACTCGAGGGAGGGCTCAGTCCGGCTCCTCCTTTGGCCTGGCTCAGTCTCCTCCCTGCCTGAAGGCTCTCTGTCAACCTCCACCCCCAAGGCTACAGCACCTGCCAGACCCAGCCCTGTCTTCCTGCCTCTCTTGTCTCCTGAACAAGCTGTCAGCTCCTTAGGGGGAGAGACCACAGATTATACCTCAGCAGTGAGGGTGTTGGGAGACGGAGGCAGCTGCCAACACCATCCCCAACTCACACCCCGATGCAGCAGCCTCACCCTCCCCAGGACAAGGCTGTGCCTCGACCCACAGGCCAGCCCCGGGCTGACCAGGGAGCACCTGCCCTCAGGATGGCCTTTTACCTTTGCGATCTGAGGGACGCTGGGCAGCTTGCTCAGCCCAGCCAAGGGGATCCGCTCATGCACTGTCTTCAGCTTGGACCTGTACACAGGGGTGGGGACAGAGAAGGAGAATTCACAAGGAACCCTCAACGAGGACAGTGGCTGAGCTCACGCAAGACAGGAATGCCTGCTTCACGTCTGTCTGGCACTAGCCCTAGTCACTACACCCAACCCACGTGCTGTGTGCCGTGAAAGGCAGGGCAGGTGGACCACTTAGACACCCAAGTGGGCGGGCACTTGAAGAAGGGGTCTGGTCAAGTGTCTGCCCCCAAAATACAGGCAGCATAAAACGCCACCTTCAAAGCCACTGTGAGCTTTGGTTTCCATGTGTTCTGAATTCTCCCAAAGAACTGGGCACAGCTTCTGAATATATTTGGGTCTGACGTGCAGTCGAGCCTTATAAGAAGAAAATGTAACATCTGAAAATCTGGATTTCCTCCCAAAATAAATGAGATGGGATTGGCTTTATAAGGGACGCACCATACGACTCTAAATTTAGCCTGTGCCCTGATTCCCTTAGCACATCGTGGAAGCGTGGGATTTCACCGAATGTCTTCCTGCATCCGCGGAGGCCACCACACGGTTCTGAATCCGGGAACCCGGTGTGTCCCCTTCCTGTGCCACCACCTTTTCACTCCACAGTGGAACTCTATTTGCTTATATTGTTTTTAGTCTCCTGAATTTAATTTGTTAATAATTTACTTAGATTTTCACAGCCTCGCTCAAATGCAATGCTGGCCTGTTTTCCTGTTTTCTCATACTTCCAGCGCCAGGTTTTGATACCAAGGTGTCATTCCACTGGGTGTCAAGTCACTGGGCAGCAGCCCATCCTCCGAGACAGCTTGTCTGATACTGGCTGCTGAAACCGCCTGGCACAGCCAGGCACTGCCGCCTCCTCACAGGAGGGCACAGCTCTCTGGTTTTCTACTCCTTATTGAGTCCATGGTAGTAGCTTACGTTCTTCTATCACAGCAAACACACTGATGGAAAGTTGCTGGAGTCCTCTTAGGAGAACCTCATCCCCATTTGTGGTTGAGTCCCCATCCCTCTTTTTCTGTATCTTTTCTCTGTTTTCCTGAGTCTTCGCTGAAGATGTACCAACATCAGGCGCCTCTCCAGGGAGCCGGCTCTGGCTGTGTTGCTCATCTCTCTGCTCCCGGCTTCTCCAGCTCCTTATCTTTGCAATCTCCTTCCTGCTACTCTCTTCAGGGATTTTCTGTTCTTTTTCCAACGTCTCGACCTGCTCACTCACTCAGACTCTTTCTTCTTTTTCACAAGTGCATTCAGATATCTCCCTCCCTCCCTTCCTCCCCCCTTCCCCCTTCCCTCTCTCCCTCCTTCCCCCTTCTTCCCTCTCTTGCTCTAAGTACTACTTTCTCTGCATCCCACACATTTTGATAGCTAGTGTTTTCGCTGCCATTAAGTTCTAAATATTTTGTCAGTTCTTTTGTGATGTCCTCGTTAGTCCATGAGTTATTTAAAACGGTTTTTGAAATTTTCCAAACCTGAAGGGTTTTCTCCTTTAGTATTTTAGTTGTTGATTTACAATTTGTCATACTCAGGGAACATAACCAACGTGATATTATTTAAAATGTGTTGTCCTACTACCTGGATGTTCCTATTTTGGTCTTTAATGTGTTGCTTTCTTTGGTTGAGAGCATAGATATATGAGGAGTCTTGGGAAACATGAATTAAGAAAATACAATCATGGATTTCAAGCTCTTTTTTTGCACCAAAATAAACTTATCTGTCAATTCCATTTTCCACGAGCCTTGCGAAGGGTTTTAAGATCAGATCCGTTAACTGTACTGTGCAAATCCTCTCTGTCCTCATAATTCTGTGGCCATGTAACTCATTGCTTTCTAGGACAGCTTGCCAAGATCTCCTGCTAACCAGAGGCTCTGTCTGCCTTTCCTTAAGCTGTGCTGCCAAGTACAAGTTCATGACTAGAGCTGGGTGGACCACACTCTTTGCATCACGTGCAGGACACCCAGCAAAAGGCAATTTCCCTGCCCTGTTCTGAACAAATTCAGAAACAAACAAAATGCAAAGAGTGAGGCTGTTGTGACCCAAATTAACTCCTCTGTTACTGATAAAGACCAAGGGGGAATAGATAACACAGCATGAAGATAAAACCCTTCTTTCTACCTAAACTCCAGAATGAGACAAACGCACTCCTGGGGCAAGCCCATCCCATGGGGCTGCTCAGCTGACACTTCCAGTACCGGGGAGCAGAGAGCACTCTGAGGGCAGGTGGGCCCCAGAAGAAACAGGGGCAGAACTGGCTCCCCAGGTTCTTGCTCCCAAATGCACCAATCAGAGCAGGTGAGGGGAGCCAGGGGGGTCGCATGAAAGTGCTTCCTCCACATGACGGAAAATATCAAGAGTGGGAAAGAATTATTCCCAAGTTACAAGAGCCCTCCCTTTATTAATGCTTTTTCCCAATTCTGTTTTTACTGATGTTAATATTGCTTTACCGGCCGGCACCGCGGCTCACTAGGCTAATCCTCCACCTTGCGGCACCGGCACACCGGGTTCTAGTCCCAGTTGGGGCGCCGGATTCTGTCCCGGCTGCCCCTCTTCCAGGCCAGCTCTCTGCTGTGGCCAGGGAGTGCAGTGGAGGATGGCCCAGGTGCTTGGGCCCTGCACCCCATGGGAGACCAGGAAAAGCACCTGGCTCCTGGCTCCTGCCATTGGATCAGCGCGGTGCGCCGGCCGCAGCGCGCCAGCCGCGGCGGCCATTGGAGGGTGAACCAACGGCAAAAGGAAGACCTTTCTCTCTGTCTCTCTCTCTCACTGTCCACTCTGCCTGTCAAAATAAATAAATAAATAAATAAAATTTTTAAAAAAATTGCTTTACCTGCTTTCTCAATTATTGTTTTCCCAAATCTTGTTCCTTCTTTTATTTTAAATCTTCTCATCTCATTTTTCCTTTTTTTAAGATTTATTTATTTATCTGAAAGTCAGAGTTACACAGAGAGAGGAGAGGCAGAGAGAGAGAGAGAGAGGTCTTCCATCCGCTGGTTCACTACCCAGTTGGTTGCAATGGTCGGAGCTGTGCCAATCCGAAGACAGGAGTCAGGAGCTTCTTCCGGGTCTCCCATGCAGGTGCAGGGCCCAAGGATTTGGGCCATCTTCTACTGCTTTCCCAGGCCATAGCAGAGAGCTGGACTGGAAGTGGAGCAGCCAGGACTAGAACCGGCACCCATATGGGATGCCGGCGCTTCAGGCCAGGGCATTAACCTGCTGCGCCACAGCACCAGCTCCCTCATTTTTTCTTTAGGTATGTCTCTAATGAGTAGGGTTAAATTTTTCTTTTTAAATTAATCTGGTAGTTTGATATTTTAGTGGGCACATTTAAGCTATTTATATTTATTGCAATTATTAGTATAGTTGGAACTCTTTTTTTGTAAGATTCACCTATTTACTTGGAAGGCAGAATAATAGAATAGAAGGGAGAAACAGAGAGAAAGAGAGAGAGAACGAATCTTCCATCCCCTGGTTCACCCCCCCAAAAAGCACAATGACTAGGGCTAGGCCAGCCTGAAGCCAGGAGCCTGGAATTCCATCCTGGTCTCCCACGTGGACGGCAGGAGCCCCAGCACTTGGGTCATACCTGCTGCTTTGCAGGTGGGCTGGAAGCAGAGCCACCCACAGACTGGCACTGCAGTGTGGGATGCCAGCATCACAGGCAGCAGCTAGCACCATGACACAGACCCGGGATAATTCTCATCTAGCACTTTACATTTTCTCTCCCACATTTTCTTTCCTTTTTTGTTTGCCCCTTTCCTCTCCTCAGTTGAACAAAGCTATAGGGTTTTGTTTTGCTTTTATTATTATTATTCTTTCCACCTCTCTACTAGTCTGTGGGATATAGATCAGATTTCTAGGGACAGGCATTGTGCACAAGCCCGTGCTCGAGACACCAAAATCTCAGAACTGGTTCAAGTCCCAGCTGCTCCACTTCTGATCCAACTCCCTGCTAATGTGCCTGGGAAAGTGGCAGAAGATGGCCCAAGTGTTTGGGCCCCTGCACTAATGTGAGAAACCCAGATGCTATTCCACATTCCTGGCTTTAGCCCGGTCCAGCTCCAGCCATTGCAGCCATTTGGGGAGTGAACTAGCAGATGCAAGCCGCTCACTCCCTAGTGTGCACTCGCTCGCTCTCTCTCTCTCTCTCTCTCTCTCCTTCTCTCCTCCTTCCCCTCCCCCATATTTTTTTAAAGATTTATTTATTTGAAAGGCAGAGTTACAGAGAGGCAGAGGCAGGGAGAGAGAGAGAGAGAGAGAGAGAGAGAGAGGGAGGTGTCTTCCATCCGCTGGTTCACTCCCCAGATGACTGCAACAGCCAGAGCTGCACCAATCCAAAGCCAGGAGCCAGGAGTTTCTTCTGGGTCTCCCACATGAGGGCAGGGTCCCAAGGACTTGGGCCATCTTCTACTGCTTTCCCAGGCCATAGCAGAGAGCTGGATCGGAAGTAGAGCAGCCGGGATTCAAACCAGAGCCCATATGAGATGCTGTCACTGCAGGAGGTGGCTTTACCTGCTATGCCACAGCGCCAGCACCATAAATAAATCTTTTTTAAAAAAATTATATTCCTGTTTCTTCCAATATACATATTTGATTTTTCCAACAAACTCAAAAATAATTACCAGTTTCCTGAGATTAGAAAAAGACAAACAGTAAAGTGTGCTACCTATGCTGCTTGAAAAATACACCAAAAATTACTTTTTCCATTCATTAAATTTATCCACATAGTTCACCAATTTCCTGTTACTTTTTAATTACATCTTTTCTTCTGGGTTAGCTTTTCTTCTGGCTGGAGAACATGCTCTCAGGGACAGTCCGTGAGAGGCACACTCCTGTCGCTCCCCCTCTTCGTGGAGGAACGACACAGGACCCTGCGCTGTTCTTTCGTCTGCTCGGCCCTCCCCGGGTTTGCTGCTGGTTCTTCCCGGGTTGGCTACTGTCCCTTCCACCTCCGTGGAAGGGCGGTTCCCCCTGGCCGCTTTCCCCACTTCCGCAGGGGAGCGGCACACC